GAAGAAGAAGGAAAAAAAAGAAAATTAATGGCTTGGATAGAAGTGTACGGTGGTCAGAGGAGCTTAGCTTTCGAGCTAACCACCGCTATATTATGAGTGAAAGTATATAATAAATGTGCGCTTGGTGCCATATGGCCGATGGAAGATTATGTCAGTAGTCGTTTTATGTGGAGCAGTCATACTACATTGCTACCTTTGAGAGTTAACTAGAATTCGCTTGTAAATCATTACTTAGTGTCTTGATCCTTGCACAAAATGCTTCTGTAGAGTTATGAAGAAGATATCAAACAAATTTCATCAGGGAGCCAAACTACTCATAACAGTTTTGCTGGTGATTTTTGCAGGCATAGTATTCAGTCCATGTCCATTCTTGCCATCCGTTGCAACAGACGGCAGGAAACTATTTCAGTGCCAAAATATAGTCTTAACGTTAAATTCCCTTGAAAAGGATATACTCTCAAGATTTTTTTTCAAACTTAACACAACTGATAGCCATATATAGGACACTGAAGACATGCAATATATATATACAAATATAGGGTCACCTTGCCCGTAAATCTAAGTGTTTTTTTGCTAGTTCCGCGTGAAATGTTCGAAACTTGATCAACCGTCAAAAATTCTTATGGCAGAGCAAACACTATGGGCCAAATATTTAAACGAAGTCATACTTAAGCCGCGGTTTATCGAATCTTTCAACCTTCAGATCTCTTCTTTGGTGGGTTGTTTTGAGAAGATAAATGCTTTTCTATTCTTCTCTATATGCTTTCATAAAACTGTTCACAGTAAATGATGTTTAGATAAAATCGTTGGGCGAGTTGAAAATGACTTAGAAAGCGGTACCCTGGCTAAACTACATTTAAATATTTGGCCCTGTGAATCTTGCTAAAATCTAAAGGCCTTTTGTTTGTCTGGGCTATAATTTTTCAGTAAAGTGATATCAAATTATCCGATCTTGCAAAGGAAATATAGAAAAATGTAAAGTTAAAGATATCCTTCTATATTTCTGTGGCTTTAATTGAAGAGTTTCAATTCGGGCAGCCAAGGTCGACCGGTGAAAATCATCTTCGCCTTAAACTAATAGCAGTGTTATGCGCAGTAGTATCAATAGGGGTGCGCAGTGCAAAACAAAGAAATTACCTTAAAAAAATGGACCATAATTTTTGGAATTCAGTTGATGCGAAAAACGGTTTTGCTTTATAAAGAGATAGTAAATAGTGTACAACTATCCCGCGAAGGGGAGGTGAATAGTGGTGACATATACCGAGACGCGAAGCGTCGAGGTATATATCTAGCGCTGTTCACCGACCCCGAGGGTGATAATTGTTTAAGTATTTACCAAATCAGTTGAATAAAAACAAAAAAAGTAACCTTTTGTAAATTAAAAACGTCACTTAGTAGGAACTTTGATTACAGTTTACAAACATTTCGCGGATTTTGTCAAGTACATTTTTACGATTTTGTTGCAAACTCAGCATGAAAATAATTTTCTACCTACCTGTGAACACCAACAAACCAAAGTTCGTCGCTTTCTTGGTATTTTTTTATGTGACTGCTTCATTTATCGCTCAAACTTCGCCTTCCGAAAATGTCTTGAAACGATACGCCATCTTGGCTACGGTCGCAAACATTGAATAGCCAAGGATATTCCGAGTTACGGAAGCCAATCAAAACGTGCGAAAATTGTTATTCACTGATTTGGTAAATACTAATGTGACATAGCCCCCTTAATCTCTGTCTCATCTGAAATTAAACCACTAAAATGTTCTTGTTACTAGTTTGTAAATACAGGGGAACGAGCACGCGGAACGGGAGAACGGAAAATGGCGCAGTAAATTATATTAAAACAAAGGCTATTTAATGAGGTTATTCAAGAGAGGATAAAGGGGACAGAGAAGGCATCCCCCATACACACCCTACTCCATAGGTAATTCGCCTCGAGTTATTTTTAATACCATAGATCCCAAGGGGGACTAGACAACAGCCAATCACATAGCGCGAATGTGGTCCGCTTGGATGACCCACGCTCAGAGCCACGCGTCTTTCACGACTTGACGCAGAAAAAAATGGCGGAAGACGCGAAGAGCGATATTGCTATTTGTTTTGTCGGCGAAAACGACTAAACAGAGATTTCTGCTAAAGCTGTGTCAGCGAAACGGAAATTAAAAAGAATCGCCCTTCCTCTCTTGTATAGAGCTAAAAGTACAGCAGGGAAATCCTTAACACACTGAATATTCTCTCAGGATCATTTATAATTTGCAGTTTGAAGAGAGCAATTTCTGGTTTGATATTTATTCTTTTATTAGTCTTTTGTTATTCCACAAAAGTAACTCTTGGCGTCCTACTTGCTTTATTGTACAAATGACCGGTTTCAATAGGCCAGCGAAATTTCTCATTTTATTTAAGCACTGAGGTTACGACAACTTCGATTTAAACTGATTTCACGGGTTGTGAGCGCCGACTCATTTCGCTTCAATATTCAGGAATGCTCTCCATCTCTTTACGCTTTCATTGCCTTTCGCCCGACATGTTTTGCACGGCGTTTAGTCATGCGAAACCTCCACGAAACATCCACGCAGCGCGCGAGGTAACTTTATCCCGATTCTAAAGATAACTCGAGACGAATTACCTATGGAATAGGGTCTGTATGGGGGATGCCTTCTCTGTCCCCTTTATCCTCTCTTGGGTTATTATAAGACTGGGGTTTTAGTTAATAGGTTCTATTCCATTTTTCTTTTCTTCGATCCCCATTCCTTGTTTTAGTTTTATTCCAATTCTCGCCATTCACAAAACCAGAGGGCTTTCGCATTTAAGCCGGTTTGGAAAAGCAAATAAGCAAGGTTGGTCAGAAAACTTGATAAGTTTTAAGGCGTTGAGGAAAGTTGATCAAGGTCTCGCTCAGTGTCTCCTAAGGGGGCGCTTTATTGAATTGTGTGTACTGCTATTTGACTCACAAAATGCCATGTGTTTACACTATGTTTAGTGTATTAGTTTTTCGCGTATTTGATACGCAATTGCTAGTAAGTAATTAACAATTGATGGAGATCGAGGAGGATGTTATCGGCCAAGGCGGATAACACCCTCCGAGATCTCCATAATTCTCCATATGATACGTAAGCCGCATTCAATAATTGTTTTATTATTCATTCCAACTAATTCCTAGTTTAAAAACATAGCTAAAACATACCTACCTTCATCGATGTTAATTTCTTCTTCGATAGTGCACGTTTAGGTTTGTTCAGCTACGCAAATATTCTTTAATAGCAGATGTCGCTCTTCGAGTTGTCTTCTTGCTGTTCTTGCTATTATTTCACCTAGTTCTTACTCTTGAAACGAGTGAAATGTCCGCCATTTTTGCTTTCACAACCAAAACAACTCAACCTCGTCCCCAGGTCTTCTCGGTCAACGGTGCATTAACCTGCAAGGAAGCTGCACTTTTGATGTCATCGGTTCATTAATCGCAAAATTCTTCCAAATTGGTCATCAGTAGCTGGTTATGATGAATTATGCGTGAGCTTTTAGCCAATCAGAATCGGGTAAATAAATTAGGCTTTGGTAGATAATGTGTACAAAGCTAATCCTTAATAATTTAAATTACTGTACACAATCTCACATATTTGTTAGTTGACAAAGTTAAACGTAAATGTAGCGAAGAAAGTGGCTCTTGCAAGTAGTCAAACTATTACTTATCATAACTGAATATACATAGTACATATCAAGAACCATTGTACATATATGGACATAGAAAAAAAGTATGGAGAATAATAAATTATAAAACACAACTATCCCCCGAACGGGAGATGAATAGTAATGGATATATAACAAGACGCGAAGTCGGCGTCGAGGTACTAGCGTAATGAATCGACCGCGAGGGCGTGATAGATATTTACCAAATCAGCTGGATAATTTACAATGAACGAGTAACTTTAATTTGTATAATAAAGGAATTGTATCGTACGTCTCTTCTTTTAAACTGGAGCGGAGAGAATTCTAGAGATTAACACCATAAAGAGCTAACCTAATGCTATTGATTTCTTTAAAATAGTTCGTTCTCGCATTTTGCAGTTCATTTGATCTGATAAAGATTTGTGTTAAGGGGATTACAGTTACTTTTTTGGGGGGAAATGATGTTGAGCTGCCGGAAGGAAATAAATTAGGGTAGAAAAGGTATACACATAAACCAGTCTATTAGCTAATGGGATCAGTGGCCTTCTTGTGGCTGGTGGACTTTCTGGCATTTCTCTACTATCTATTCACGTTGTATTTAATTTTTAGCAACCCCCCAACCCAATATTTTTCAGTTTTCCAAAATTTGCAAACATCCCCCCTAATTTTTTGTACATTAAAAACATTCGAAATTCACAATAAAGTTATTGAACCAAGTACCCTGTGTCATTTTTTAATGATTCAATGAAATCTTCAGTGCCTAGGTATTTAAAATATCGCTCACGATCTTAAAAGAAAAAGGACGGAAAACAAAGAAAACAAGAGCCATATTATGGCTTTTGACGAAAAATAAACAGTGCTTAAGACTTAACATGTAACATCATTACAACCATATGATGCTGTCTCATTTTTGTGAGCGAGAACGAACCAATCTCACACAGATCGCGATTGTTTGAGTAACAAACACCTATAATGACACGAGCGGCCAGTTTGTGCCACTTCTGGAGCTTATCTGCCCACCTTTAGGCCAGTTTGTTCTCATTAATACAATCCTTGTTATGGTTACATGATATTAAGTTAAACTTTTACGCTTAAAAGAGGTTACCACGTTTTTTAAACAAAATGTCATTTCAACCTTCTCAAGAACTTGACCAAAGGAGAAAAAGGGGGAATTAAACGCCTTAATATCTGTACCTTTTTACCGTAGTGCAAGTTCAACGTTAGTTACTAAGACAGTTAACCAGAATTGAGCTTACACTAACATCCAAGTGTTCTGACTGAGTTCACCGCATACGCAAAGACGTGTTAGCGCCACGAATCCCCAGTTTTACATATTGTCAATTCAGTGATACTAACTTAAACGTAACAAAACCGTTTCCCACAGGGCAATCTCCAGACAGCAAACTCCAGTTATTATTAGGTGCAAACGAACCTCCTCCCCCAGCGCCGCTAAGATCCAGATTTTCGCTATTCCCGTCCACTTGGGCACCACCACCGGAGTACCCACCCCCTCCCCCACAATTCCCACCACCACCAAACCCACCAGCACCACATCCGGCCTTCTTGTTATAACCTCCCACTCCACCGGCGGAAAATGATTTGCCTCCGTCGTTCCCTGGACATTGTTTGTTGCATTTTCCATCTTGATAGCAGCGTCCATTCGTTAATAGGCCACCACCTCCTCCGACACCAACTAAAGATTGAAAAGCGGCATCTGACACACAAACCTTTCCTCCCTTTCCTTTCGAACCACCATTTACGCTGCCTGTTTCACTAGCTTGTCCAGGATCACCATCTACAATTTCAGCTGCACCCCCACCCCCAGCCACAGCTAAAGGCTTGCCATCTGCAGCAAATACAACAAACGTTCCACCCCCACCACCCCCTCCAGTTGCTTCTTGCCCCACTAAGACACTCAGCTGTGTTCCCTTTTGCAGATGAACGCTTCCTTTTACTTTGGCGCCTCTTCCACCTCTGGTGTTATAAAACCCATTGTCCGCTCCTGAAGCTCCACACAGCTCAGCTTGATACTTGCCCGTCACTGGAACAATCCAAGTTTGTAGGCCCTTTTGAACTGATATCCCTTGCAGCGAGGTGCCTTGGTAATGTGCATTACTGGTTGGTCCAAATCTCCCCGTAGCTCCAAGAGAAGTAAAGTTATAGTATGCGTCTATGAGGCGGAAATAAAGACAAGCACTCACTTATTCAGTGCCTGTGAATGGTGATATAAATGAAGAAAACATGAAAATAATGAATTTCGGGTTTGTGTGATACTCGCAACCCTTTTAGTGCCACGTATATATACGTCCAAAAAGACAAGTTCCCGGTACCAAGAACGTATATATACGTCCTCTCCCTAGCATAGTTTTATCTTTTCCAGTTGCTCGGCGTTTTCGTCAGTGGTTGTTTTAAAGGATTTAAGAAGGAATTGAATAATGTTAACCGCTGACCTGAGATTTTTAAGGAAGTCGCCGATCACAAGGTGGTTGTGAAGTGTTGAAAGAAGCTGTCCTGATAGTTGTGACTATTACTTCTGTACTGTATTACTGCCACCCGGATTTATAAAAACCGGGGTAGCAAACATTTTGTAATTATCTTAACTTCCTCTGTCTTAGCTTGTTTACTGTGTGGTTTTGTTTATGTAGTATCTTTTCTCGGTTGGTAGATAGGGATTTTTGTAGAAGTGGCTGTAGATATATTTTCGCGAATTCACTTTCTACCTACCCCACCCCCTCCCTCCCTCTTTGGTCTGTTTCCGTCTCTACCCAGATCTCTCTCGCTAACACAAGTGACAGTCATTTGAAATCAGTACGTGCCTAAAGCTGGTTTCGGTGCCGCAGCGCTTAAGAGTAGTTTATATTTCGTTGTTTGTCACCTTGAGCCGAGAAAAGTTTCCTGGACGGTATCATGCAAAGTTCTCAGATGAGACATATATGTGATAAATACGATTCGCAGATCGGTCTGCATCGTGCAATGTCTTCCCTTGTTCTCGTTTCATTTGACTACCAATCACCCTGATCCGCGCTGAAACAGAAAGGTATGACACTGCTCGCTTCTCCCGGGTGACAACAAAGTTTTGCCTCGAAAACAAGGTTATAATAAGAGTCAAATCTATTTGGCCAAGACTGGTGTGAAAACAGAGTCTATGCTGGACTGCCGACCGTGTGAGTAGTCTAGTGAGAGAAGCGAGCTTGAATAAGACGAGTGTAAGAGAAATGTCTAGAGGTGTTTATCTGCCAAAAACCTGTAGTGCCTTTTTCCTGATTATTTCATGATATTTGGCTTGTGTTAAACGTGAAAAGATTATGCGTGATCGTGTAGTCTTATCAGTGCCACGAAAGTGTATGTTTGAGTGATTTCCGGGTGGTATTGACAGAAAGAACACAGGTTGTGATTTCGTGGTTGAGCCGTTGCACTAAAAGTTTCTGCTCCAGCCATAAAAACAAACGCTTCGTAGGTGTTTAGCTCAGGTGAATGTGCCTTAGAAAACTCGACTCAGAAAATCTATTCCATGCGAATTTCTGTCATTTATCAGTTCGAGAAAATAGTGGTGTTTTGCTTAATATTTAAGTTGTTATGTGCCTTAACCAGGCACTTTTTGACTGCATTTCACTCAACTAAAAATTTTATAGACTGAAATGACACCGTTTTGAAACTTCACGAAGTCAGATTACTGTCTGTGAATAAATGTTCTAAAATTTAGACTCAGTGAACTGCTATAAGGGACCTCTAACTTACTGCCTGGCATCAGATAATGGTTTTCAATCAGATAATGGTTTTCATTGTTTTTAAATTGTCAAGTAGTAGTTGGTTTTTAAAAATCCTGGTATACTTGTTATATTGTTTATATAATTAAAAGGGAGGTTAAGACTGATCATCCGGGTGAACGTAGTCCTGAATAGGATTTTTGTTGTTGACAGTGACTGACGTTTCGACAACCTGTGCGGTAGTCATCTTCAGAGTCAAAGTGAGTTGTATCACGTCAGTTGATGGTATTATACTCTTGTTATTGACCTGATTGGTCAATTACGTTGCGATGTTATTGGCCGTCTGACAGCTAAGCCGTGAGGATATTGGCTATGAAGACTCGTAATGTAATTGGTGCGTTTAAATCCGTCTATTGTCACAGTCAAACAGTCGTCTATTGTTAGTCAAATTGTCAGTTGTCCAGTCTTTCTCTCGTAGTCAGTTTTGCTTGATTTCGTCAATAAATCGTTTTTACGGTGCCGGTAACTGTTGACTACGATTCAGTGGCGTTTGTTCTAGTTATTAAACCAGTTTTCTAAAGTGAGTCGTTGATAGTAGTCTGTAGAATACGTAATACGTGTCGCAGACTCCTAGTCGATTTGATGTTTCGTCTGTAAATGGTGTTCAACAATGTGATTGTTAACGTCACCATTTCTCGTCGCTCGTTTGTGTTCGGTCAGTCGAGTGCTAAGGTTTCTGCCTGTTTCACCAATGTAAGTAGCTTGGCAGTCGCAGCATTTGATCTTGTATACTGCTCCCTGTCTGTCCTCCGGTTTGTCTTCGTCCTTGACATTAGTAAGTAGTCGTCGTAAAGTGGTTATCGTTTTGTGTGCAACACGTATATTGCATGTAAGGTTGTAGTATACGTGCGATAGTTTCAGGTGCCTCTGATGTACGGTATAGTCGCTGTCGTAACAGGGCCAGAGTTGACGTTGGTCTGAGTGTTGAATCAGTGTTACTGTGAGTGTTCCGTCTAACAAAGTCCGGGTTGTAGTTGTTCAAGGCAGGAATTGAATTACAACAAGTCCTTAAATAGCGAAAAATACATTTTTGTGAAAAAATCCAATATGCCGGCCGGGTTATCATCATTTTAAGATGTCTTAATTTTAGTAAGCTTCCAAACATAGTTGAACTCTGAAAATAAGCTCTTCTAGCTGCTATTGGTGGTCATGTACTAGCGACTTGTTTTCATTCAAAAGTAAAACATGGCTGCTTATTGGCTGCATCAGTTGAAATATAATTTGGAGAATTTCTCTGGGCTCATTTCATTTGGATTAAAAAGCTTAACCTCTTACCTGTCTTTGTTTGGCAACTCTCTCCTGTCCATGGGAGAAAGCATTTGCAACGGAACTTTTGGTTTTCTTGGTTAAAATAACATTGGCCTTGGTTGAGACATGTCATCTGCTTGCAGCCCTCCTGTAACAAACCAGGCAGAGAGACGAGAAGAATAGACTACTACCAGTTCATTTAAGTAAATTAATAAAAGTACTCGACTTTATTTAAGTGTCTGATAATGTGTCTAGCACGAAAGTACTAAATTAGGAAACTGTTTTTACGTAGCCTCATGGAGACTGGACCGCGATTTCTAACTGCATGATAATCGAGCCAGCAAAGTTCTAGCCGTTTCGTGGCAAAGACAGCACCTTTTTTAACACAATACCTTGAGTACGAACTAGGCCATTCCGGAGATCGAACTCAAGATGACCTGCCGCTCTGCAAACCAAAGATGACCAGCTAAGTTAACTGACCATGATAATACTGGTTAAGGCTTGAGTCGGAACAAACTGAAGTTCTCCTGAGCTGTGTTTAGACTTCACAAATCGCAGCGCAAGAAAAAAAAATGCGGTAGAAAATTAACTGCAGTCGGGAAAACAGTCACGATCACAGTCTTCGTTCTAGTAGTTCCCATTGTGGCAGCTGTCGGACAGTAAGCACCAGGATCCCTAGGGCAGTTTACTTTTTGTACAAATGTACACCAGTATATAAATTCCGTAAACGTGTAAGGAAATTTACCGACCGGATAACATTTCTTAATTTTTCTTAACATTTTATAATATCTTTCCGATTTACACATGTACGGAGCTGAGAGTCTAAATTAAGCCTAGTATGGGAGTTGCTCGCTCTGCGGAGTAATCTTTTTACTCTGATTGAACGTGAAAGCTTCATGACCACTGTACAGGATTATTATACGTTTCTGGGAAACTGCCCAGCTACCCCTCCCCTACACCAACATCAACACTTACTTCTCACTTAAGGCAAAATGTTGGCTTATGGGAGGGGTAGGTGGGCAAATGATCCCAGTCTTTGGCTTCCTAGTATACCATTGGAAAACCCTTCATAGTTGTCAACAACGAAAGCTGAAGTCTCTTACAAAAATTGCTGGGCTGTGACTGATGTAGGATTTGTCACAAGGCGGATGCTTGACTCTTTGTGTGAATGAGTCTTTTCTTTGTTACGTATATTATCAGTGAACTTAATTTTTGCGTTTTTAAAAGTTTTCTCGAAGATTTTGCGACCCCCATTATCATGAGTCTCTCCACAGGGATCCATAAAAAGGAATTGATGTCATTTAGTTCAGTGCATATCAAGGACTCAAATGTCCTCGTAATTATTGTTAAAAGCAAACAAACATTCTTAACAGTTTTAATTTTTTTCTACCATAATTTTATCTATCATCAATGAAAAAAAAAATATATATATATATAAGAGTACACTAAATATAGAATTGTGGCCGCAGTTTTTGAACTTTCAATATAATTTTTCTCCTTCCATTATTTTGCCAGCCGCTTGGCACTTTGTTATATCGAGGTTCCACTGTATAGCTAAGTTAGCCTTGCTTCGATGGTCGAAAAACTTATGGTTAATTTAGAATTGAGGACAAAAATAATAACAATAAAATGTTAATAAAAAATTACCCATCAGTTATTTGGCCATCTCCAAGTCATAACAGAAGCAAAGCTAACTTTGCTATACAGTGGAACCTCGATATAACAAAGTGCCAAGGGACTGGCAAAATGTGTTCGCTATAACGAGGTTTCGTTATATCGAGGTACTTTTCCATACATTTTACTATTACTAGGGTAAAGAAAATCGTTCGTTATACCGAGGACTTCGTTACATGGAAGTTTCACTGTATTTCGTTTCTATTGCGTGATCCTTACCTTTAAGTTAATGTCTATTAAGGAAATTTTGGAGTAGAGAGAAAATATAAATCCTTCTTCAAAGGTAAGCTCCTCATTGTGAAGTAACGATACACCACGATTGTTTAGTTCACAGACAAACTGATTATCCTCCGAGGCCCCAAAGTTTGTTGAAACACATGTGGGCTCCGCTAGGCACGAATGGGCACAAGACAACAACGACGAACATTTTACTGCCTTAATTTGGTGTCCCTTCAGCTTGTGCTTTGGGACAGTCTTTACAGATCCGCGCAGGTAACGTTGTTCAAAGCCGTGGGTGGTTTCTGTATATCTCAGAAGGATATAAAGGAGCGGGAAGAAGCTAAAAATGATCATCTTTCGTGAAAAAGGTGGCAATTGAAATATTTGTGCTCAGTAAAAAGCATTTTGTTTGTATTCAAGTACATGCTGAAATTAAAGTAAATATATTTAAGTGCTTCACTGTGCAGCTGCTTCCGGTTGGGCAAATATTAGTAACTTGTTTTGTCAAAATAAATGACCAGGTGCCCGTTTCACTCGAAAGATCCAATAATCGACGGACCCAAAAACGGTTGTTGTTTTTTTTTTCAAGATAGAGGTTTCGACACTTTTGCAAACAATATGATAAAATACAGTATTCTTTTCCCGCGAACGGCAGAGAGGGTCATGTGACCTGACTTTTCCCGTGTTTTTCCGTTTGCCGGCCGCCGTTTCTTCGCGAGGAAGACATTTTTCCCGTTTGGAAAAGACGCAGAAACGTGAGTATTTGCAGCCTATCTGTTCCGCTTATTTCTTCACTTTGATCGCTTGTTTTTATAGCTATGCTTCTTGTGTTATCCTTCTTCCCCATGTACTGTTTGTAAAGCCATAGGTGTAAAAGAGTTCCAAATTCGAGAGAAGGGATGACAACTTCAGTATGTGTAAAATTGCGCAATGTTTGTCAACGATTAACATTCAACGATTACTCTGTACTGTTATAAAGTTCCTGTTCATTCACGTTGTTAAGGAAGCTAAGGAAGCTGTGCTGTACATTCTGCAAGACTTTTAGGTGAACTTTGATCTCGGATGACAATCATACGGCAGGATATCAGTCTAATCTACAGTTAATTGACTGCTAAATGTGTATTGATTTTTTATTTATTATTCATTCAAAATATTTCCCCAATTCTGATTGGCTAAAAGCACCATAACTAGTTACTGATAACCAAATTTGGAAGAATTTTGTGTTTAACGAGGAAATGACGGCAAATTGCAGCCTTCTACAGGTTAATGCACCGTTAACCGAGAAGACCTGAGGACGAGATTGAGTTGTTTTCGTTGTAAAAACTAAAATGGCGGACACTTCACTCAATTCAATAGTAAGAACTACAGCTGGAACTAGGCGAAATAATGGCTAAAAGCATAGCAAAAACAGCAAGAAGATAACTCGGAGGGCGACATGTGCTATTTGGAGAATATTTGCGGAGCTGGACAAACCTAAACGTAAACTATCGAAGATGAACTCAACATCGATGCAAGTAAGCTTGTTTTAGCTACGTTTTTTTGGAATTCGGCTTTCGTATCATATGAAGGATTATGGAGATCTCGGAGGGTGTTATCTGCCTCGGCCTACGGTCTCGACGGATAACACCCTCCTCGATCTCCATATTTCTTCATAAGATAATCAGCCTCATTCATTAATTGTTAACTATTAATGGACTACAGCACGTATTTGAAGGATGTAATCCAATACTGCTATTGTCAATTCAGTCCGGTGTCCCCTTAATAGAGGTTTTTAACTATAGAAATTAGCCAAATACAATTTATTTTAGTGTCCGTGTCTGTAACGTTTAGAGGGATAACAGTCAGTAAGAACTCCAACAACGGCGACACCCAACCCGAAGCTAACATCTTTAATTGAATTACAAAATCGAACGTGCTTACACAGGACTTCAGCTTATAGAAGATGCTCAAAATACCTCATGTAAGATGATACAAAATACACTTCATGTAGGCAATACGTGACATCCCCCCTTCACAAAATAAAGTAAAATAAATAGACTAGCAATAATAATGAGAAAGGAAACAAAACAGAACAAAGAAACAAAGGGCTAGGGAAGAAAAAAAAAAAGTTCATACGATTAGAGCTGGTTTCAAGAGTCATATCTTAGTGGCTTTCGAAACACTCGGCCGCTTCTGATCGTCATCACAGCAGCCGCAGGCGTACAGGTAGCAGAAACAGGAACTGAACCGATGTCATTGGATCTGGAAACAGGTTCCTTGCTTGGTTTTGGGTCTGACTGGACGACGGTGGGACCATCTGAAACCTCCATACTGGCAGAAATAGGTATGGGACAGCTTGGAAGGTCAGCCCCAGTGAAATATTGGTCTTGCTGGCTTGAAGACTCAGGAGATGGGGCTCTGAAGAATGGCTCCTTGGTAAGCCTGAGATACCTTCTATTCCTTCTGTTGGTACGGCCATCCTCTGTGCGGACCTGGTATGACCTAACGTCGACCTCCTTGTCCTCAGTGGCTTCTGGCCCATCTCTTAGAATTTCTGTCAGGTTTTATAAGCACTACAACTGCAGGCTACAATTTGCTCAGCTCTTTTGCACCCCTGTTGTAGTAGTAAGTCTGTTTAGCCTTCCTCTCTTTCAGCTTGTGCGGGACACCCTGACCTGTTTCAGGAACAAGTAGTCTTGAAGAAGTTGCAAACAGTGTTCTAGTCCTCCGACCAAACAATCGCTGGAAAGAAGACTCCGACTCCCTCAGCTGGAGTGTTCTGGTAATCCAAGAGTGACAAATTTGGGTCTGAAACAGCATCTCGAGCCTTTTTCATGATACTTTGTGGAATTTTAACAGCATTCTCTACCTTCCCATTAGACTGAGGATAGCGCGGAGAGCTGGTTAGGTGTTCAAACTCATAGGCTGACGCAAATTCCGAAAACTCCTTAGAAATGAAAGGTGGACCATTGTCACTAAAGACCTGGACGGGTAACCCATGTCGAGCAAGCTGAGACTTCAGCTTAGAGATTACCTCCTTGCCTTTCTTGTCACAAATTTTGTCTATCTCGAGGTAGTCAGGCTAGTAATCCACACAAACCAAATAATTATTATCCTCAAAGTCAAAATGATCACAGCGTACTTTCTCCCACGGTCTTGTTGGGTTTTCATGACTAATCATTGGCTCTTTTTGCTGATTTGGTCGATAGCTCATGAAAACAGCACAATCACTAGCGTCAAAGAACTTAAGAACATGTGCAGAAGCTATCACTGCTTTGACAGCCTTGAAGCACTCTCCATGGACACTTTCCTCCCAGACAGATTCAACATCCTCCTTAATTAAGTCCCTGATATGTTTCATAAGCTCTGACAAGCCAGGCGCAAATTTCTGCAATAATTCACCAGTCCCATGATTCTGCAAACTCCTTGCTTGTCAGCAGGTGACGGCACACCCAGTAACGCCTCTACCTTGGCCGGATCAGGTTTCAACCCTCAGCAGATATGACATGACCCACATACGACAGCTCATGAAGTTTGAACTTGAGCTCCTCCTTGTTCAACGTGATGTGTTTCTGACGACAGCACTCCAACAAATTCAGGAACTTAGTGTCATGGTCTCGCAGGGCTGCATCCTCTGTGACTCCAACACCAAACACAATGATGTCATCTGCAACAGTCCTGACTCCATCAAGTCCTTCTATTACGTCATTAAGCCTACGCTGAAATTCCTCGGAAGCTGGCGAAATACCAAAGGGCATTCTTAACCACCGAAAACAGCCCCAGGATGTAGCAAAGGTTGTCAGCTTACTGCTTTCATCATCTAAAGGCACATGCTAGAATCCATTCTTAACGTCAGCCACAGCAAAGACTTGTGCCCTAGACAGTTCAGGTAGTAGATCATCAATAAATAGTTGGTAAAGGATAACGGTTTCTCTTTAAAGCTTTTTAAGAGGCTTTGGATCGAGATACACTTACCATTGGGTTTCAATACCACTACAGGAGATGAAATCCACTCTGTTGGTTCTGAAACTGCTGCTATAATTCCCCTTTGAACCAATCTCTAAACCTCCATTTTGTATTTCTTCCTTAAGGCAATAGGTGGTTTGGGAACAGGCATCTGTACTAGTTTTACATTCTAATCCACATTAAGAAGTAGCTTGTCTTCCAGCATCGCATCTCCCTCATAGACATCCTTGAACTGCGTAACAACTTGAGGCACGGTAAGACCTTCGTAGCTCTGCGAACCCTCAAAAGCCAAAATGTTGCGTGTATTTACTGTATGAGGAGATAAACAAAATAAGAGGAATAAATTTCATGAATATCAGTGGCACTCGCGCTTTAAAAAACAGGATCGATTTATTACAGATATTTAAGTTATCCTGTGTGTTTCTTGGTGTCTTTGCTGACCTTTGCTAAGTATTTTCTTGCGTAAGAGGTCTACTTTGGAAACCCTGCATTCATTCTTATAAGAACGTAACATTGATCAATTAGTCTTAGATGAGCGTTTTGAATGACTTTGTTATTGCCATTGAAAAGACATATTATTGATATTTTACTTTTTCTGCTGCAAGAGGAAGAAAGTATTTGCATGCGAACTACAAAAATCACTTCCAGCTGTTACCAAGGAAGCCAAAGAAAATTTTACTTTTTAAGCGTAATTGTTTTCCTAAAGTACAATTTTAAGCTCCTTAAGAAATTAATGTGATCTGAAGTGGGAAACTAAAGGCTGAAAAGGTCTGTCCTGGGCGGTATTATAATAATAAAAGGTACTCATTGCCTAAAACATGTCGTAACAGACATTAACGACATTGAATTGTGGTCATTTATCTAACGATGAAAAATTAGTTCCTTTACAGAGCGGTGACACACTGGAAAGCGATTTGACAACCATAAATATAGTCTTCATTATAAACAGGATTTAAAAAATAAGGAACAAAACAGAAAAGGAGTACTCTGCAAAAGTGCTGAGGCGGAGCTTCCTAGAGATTTAGTGACATTTTAAAATTCACATATAGAGTAAGCTGAAAAACGATTTACAGTAAACTAGGGTTACAGTTAAGGCGAATTTTTTAAATCCTGCATTGATCATATGAAAAAAAGAGAAAAAAAAACAGAAACGTCTGGAAGAAGGAATAGCTCAGTTTTTGTCCAGTTTATTCGTGATTATTTCTTCAAATTATCTACACTAAGGTTAATACAACACTTCACACATGCACTACGAGGACTGTGTTAACATTCAGGGTCATGATCACCTGAGAGAAATGGATTCTGAGTAAGGGTGAAACTGGGCTGGCTCGGCGATCTGGATATCACATTGAAGTAACGAAACTGGTGTTTTTATTTTATAGTGACTTGATTTAGTTTTCCAGGGCAATACCTCCTAAATATGTTGGAGCATAAAGTACGTTGCCATTAACAACGGATACGGAAAAATGATTACCACGGCTGTATTAGATACAGGGTAGGGTCGTAATTACATCGGAGTTGACATTAGCAACAAATTGACGCCATTACCTATTTCCCTTGCAGTCCTCTTTCTCTGCACTGGAAATTTGTTTTTTCTAAAATCGTTCACGAGAGCTCTTTTTGTTCTAATAGTTGCTTTGATGTTCGAAAAGTTTATGCAAATCTATGTGAGGATTATCGAGATATTTTGGGATGAAATTTCTATGGTTTAGAAATTCAGAAAAAAATGGACAATCTTGATGTTCGGCCCTATTTTCTCTTTGGGAAGGAAGAATTTAAAAAGCAATTTTACCTCATACTTGCTTTATTCTCTTTAAAAACGTGTCGGAAGAGAACTTTAGCTTTAGCCAATCACAAGAAAGAGGGATTTGATTTGCATGCATGCAGGTCCTCTTGTTGGCATTTTTGTAAGTATTTTGGTCTATTTTAATAAATGAGCGACCAATTAGTTTGAGCCTTGGCCTTCTCAGTCGCTAAATAAATAAAAAAAATAAATTTTATGATTCGATTTACGATTAATTGCACTACGGCTAAATAAAAAAAGGATCAATTTATTTCAGATATTATTGTCATTTTTTCACATTAGGGCCATCATTTGAATGTGCTTTCTGGTGCCTTTGCTTTGGTATATTTTAGTCTTGCGTAACTATCATAAGTAAGGGATAGAACCCCTTGCAATAGTCTTCATAAGAATACTGAACACTTAATCTTGGTAGCTAAGCGTTTAAAATGAATTTGTTATTACTTTGAAAAAGGCACATTGAAAAATAACATTTGAGAAAAAGTACCTGGGCTCGACATAAAAGGTAAATTCCCTTGAGAACATGGACATGTGGTCTGAATTGCGAAGTAAATACTAGCTAGTCTTTATAAGAAGAACTTCATTAAGAAAAGCTAGCGTTGGCAGCTTTAAGAAGACAACTCTAATTGCAGCTATTTATCTTTGCATGAAGGAGAAATTAGTTTCTTTAAGAGTTGACAGACTAAAAATCAATTTGTTGACAACCTGCTGAAACGTTTAGTTTTCATTAGGTGGCAGTTTTAACGTTTTTTCACAACATTAGGAAAAAGTACTCGGATGCGATAAAAAAAGATAAATCTCCTTGAGAACATGGACATGTGGTCTGAATTGCGAAATAAATATAAATATATTACAATAGGCTTTTTAAAGAAGACTTTCATTAATAGAAATAAGTCTTGGTAGCTTTATGATGACAAATTAAATTGCAGCTATTTATCTTGCATGGAGGAGAAATTAGTTTCTTAGAGCTAACAGACTTTAAGGCGGTAGGACAGCCTTCAAATGTTTAGTCTTCATTAGATAAAAAGTTTTCGCGAGCAAAACAGAGCAGGAGCACCGCTCTGAAAAAGTAACGAGGCCGAACTTTCTCAGGCATTTGTTGAGTTTTGTCAGATTGACAGAAAGGTAATTTTAAAAAATGTTATTTGCCACTTTCAGGCTTATTGTGTCAAGCTTGAGTTCAGTAAACTAGGGCTATGTAATGACAAAAGTGCCCTTTTTCATCTTAAGGGAAGATGCAAAAAGTAGAAACCTCTGAATAACCGTTTTCAAAAATGACTGCATGAAATTTGAAAGCAAAGAATAGCTTTTTCTTGTTGTATTGAGTTTATTATTTTGTTTTTTGCTCCTATAAAAACATGCTTATATTACTCTTTTATTAAAAAACGTGCGAACTCTGAAATTTTAAAAGCCGGCTTACGATTGCGTTTGTTGATTACAGGGAAATGAATTAGAATGAATTTCTAAGCCCTAACACAACTACAAAAACAACAATCAACAGGAATAGGGTCTTGCACAGTTAACCAAGTTATGTTTACCCCAAAACTGAGCTATTGTGCGGCTTAAATGAGGAAAGTACATTTCCTTGTGTTATGCCAAAAAGCTTTCATCCAAAAAAGTAGGGCTCACCAGTTTTATAATTATCAGTTCTGGAACCTAAAACGTAGGTCTAGATAATCCTTGAGATACATTTGCATGCTAATGAAGAAAACCTATAGAAAAGGACATCTATTATTGAAATTTGTATATCAATCAACTTGTCACATATAAAGATAGTAAAAAAAAAAATTTCTTCGTTTATTAATAATGGTAAAAGGACCGAGTGGAGTTCAATTCGGTCTGTAATTTTAGGAGTGATAAACATAAACAACATCGCACGATCGCGAAGTGGGGGTCCGATTCGTTTAATCAGGAGTATAATTACAGACCGAATTGGACTCCACTCATTCGTATTACCAATTAATCAAAACCATGACAATTTCTAAAAAAAGAAATGCATTCCTTTTTGTGAAAGATCTTTTAATTTTAACACCAATTATCCAAAGTTAGTTAAATATCACTGCCGGAGACATTGTCTAATGTTACAAATTTGTCCATTTTGGAAAATCCGCAGTTGAGTAGGGTAGGTTGTTGTTGCTATGGTTATTTTGATGAATTCTCTGATCGGTGGATTTAGCTGAGTGCACTTATGGTTATGGTTATCATCATAATCATAATCATAATCATAATCATCATCATCATCATCATCATCATCATAACAATAATAATAACAATAGTCATCATCATCATCATCATCACCAGCATTTCGTTTCTAGTAGCATTACTGTATCTGTTTACCTTTCTTGCAGGCTGTCTTGATATAAATGGAGAAAAATCCTCAGTCAGATCCAAGTTCTCATGATCCCCTAGGTCGTTCGCGCAGTCAAATTGGTTTGGAAGTGGCCTTGTCAATTCTCATCTGCCTCACCTCCTTCCTCGGCAATTTATTAGTCGTTTATGTAGTCCATAAAGACTCCAGACTCAAGAGCTTAACGAATGTATTCATCCACAACTTGGCATTGACTGACATTTCCATGGCATCGCTACACATGCCCTTTTGGGTAACAAGCCTGTATACAGGAACTTGGATTTTTAGCGAGAAGTGGTGCAAGTTTCAAGCTGTAATTCAGTCTACGTCGGGAAATGCTTCTATCCTGACTATGGGACTTATCGCCTTCTACCGATATTTCCGAGTCGTCAAACCAGCACTGAACAACAGGGTTTACTCTAGCAAGAGAATGGCACGATTGTACTGTGCCATCGCATGGATAGCTTCAATGCTTCTTGCAACACCGCCATTGTACGGCTGGGGTAAGATGATATACTACCCTTCATGTTCGGTCTGCTCTTTTAATTGGAAAATCGAGAATATTTCATATACCATAGTTACCGTGGGTGTAGTGATCAACGGAACAACAGTTTCAATCTTATACTGCTACTACAAGATTTATAAGACTCTTAAAGAAAGCAGTCAAAATATAAATGCCCACGGCATTCAAGATGGCGCGGCCTCATCGGCACGTCCTGAAACTGATATAAGACTCTTGAAAACCTGTTTTACCGTCGTTTGTGTATTTCTGTTGACACGGGCACCAATTTCTGTTGCTGTGATTTTTGAGACCGCTGGGTGCGTTATCCCCAGAGAGGTTTGTACGGTAGCTGTTTACCTTATGTTTACAAGCAGTTTAGTAAATCCAATGATATACGGGATAATGAATTCGCAGTTCAAAGAGGCCTTCAAAAGGGCTTTAATGTTTGGTACTTGTGGCAACAATCAAATTCAGGGTTCGTGAAGAAATGGGGCCATGCCTTGAGGCTCGCTCAGAATTAGCCAAGGCCGACAGTTTGGTAGTTATGGCAACTTTTAATAGTCATAGTGGAACCCAGGGTTCGTAGAGATTTTTGGTACCAAATTTCAAGACTTTTTTTCCAAAACAATAATTTATTTTTCCAGACTTGATTTTATCAAATAGGTGATCAATAGAGACTTTAAAAAAAGCAGGAAAAAAATCTTTTTCTTGGTGCCTTGCAAACATTAGACCGAATTAAATAAGATTTGATAAGAAAGGATAAAGGGGACAGAGAAGGCATCCCCTGTACACACCCTATTACATAGGTAATTCGTCTCGAGTTATTTTTAGAATCGGGATAAAGTTACCTCGCGGGCTGCGTGGATGTTTCGTGGAGGTTTCGCATGACTAAACGCCGTGGAAAACATGTCGGGCGAAAGGCAATGAAAGCGTAAAGAGATCGAGAGCATTCCTGAATATTGACGCGAAATGAGTCGGCGCTCACCTGGGAAAAGGGAATCGCTAGTCTCTTTCGCAACCCGTGAAATCAGTTTAACTGGAAGTTGTCGTAACCTCAGTGCTTTAATAATATGAGAAATATTGCCGGTTCTATTGAAACCGGTCGTTTGTACAATAAAGCAAGTAGGACGCCAAGTGTTATTTTTGTTGAATAATAAAAGACTAATAAAAGAATAAATATCAAACCAGAAATTGCTCTTTTCAAACTGTAAATTATGAATGATCCTGAGAGAATATTCAGTGTGTTAAGGATTTCCCTGCTCTACTGTTAACTCTATACAAGAGAGGGAGGGCGATTCTTTTTAATTTCCGTTTCGCTGGCACAGCTTTAGCAGAAATCTCTCTGTAATCGTTTTCGTCGACAAAACGAATAGCAGTATCGCTCTCCACGTCTTCCGCCATTTTGTTCTGCATCAATTCGTGAAGGACGCGTGGCTCGGCTAAGCGTGGATCATCCACGCGGAACACATTCGCGCTATGTGATTGGCTGTTGCCTAATCCTGCTTGGGATATGTGGTCTTAAAAAATAACTCGAGACGAATTACCTATGGAATAGGGTGTGTATGGGGGATGCCTTCTCTGTCCCCTTTATCCTCTCTTGGATTTGACCAAAAGGAAAAAAATATCACTTATAAAGTACTTGTTGTAACTTTAAATAAAAACTCAAACTTTTCACCATTTTTTCCCGACATTTTCTCTAAATGCAGACTTTTTCCAGGTTTGGAAAATTTCTAGGCAAATTTCAAGACTTTTTCAAGAATTCAAGACTCTGTACGAACCGTGGGAACAACCTTGATCTCTTGAGACAATACGAGGGTTTACAATTACCTTAGGAAGCTCGCGTAATTTTCAACTTGGTGAAAACTTTCTTTCGTATTGCTGGTACGACGTTCTTTGATTTTGAAATGAGAGGAGGATTGGGGAGAGTAGAAATAGCGCTAAATGAGATAGATGGTTACCAGGGTGACAAAACGAAGAGAACTCATGCATTGCATGCTAGCTTGCGTTATTCCAATTCTTTCAGGGGCTATGTTCTTTTGATTCCAATTACTTAATCCTGTTCAGACCGGGAGGGCTTTCGAGGCACCCCTCACTAAAAAGTTGAATAAAAAAAACGTTCAAGCTATGACCGCTAAACTTGTCGACCTCATAAAATTTATCTGGGAACGTTTTAAGTCCGACGTCAAGTGCACGTCAGCGTTGACGTTAGGATGGTAACCAATTTTTGGATAGCTATAATATTGTTCAGAATTCGCATTTTTTCTATTCAGAAAAGGAATTATTTTAGCTCATTCGCTCTCACTTTGGAAAAATAAACTATCAGTGAGGGAAACGATGAGTCGAAACTAGGTAAGTGATATTATAAACCAGCCTCTTATGACACATTTAAACGTTTCCATTCCCCAAGGAGTACAAATTGGACCATTCTGACTTCCGTGCAATAATTACTGATTGGTTTTCCTCTTATTAAAAAATGTAAATAACGGAATGTAAACAACACAAATTAAATTTCATATTTCTAACAAGGCTGCAATTACCTGTGCCGTGCCTCAGGGTTCTGTCGTAGAACCACTACGTTTTAATTATACGGAAACGACACACAGCGCTCCGTGGACAAATGAAATTTATACCTCTTAGCAGATTATACAAATATACCCAATGCTGATAAAGACAATGAATTTCTTGAAATCGCCGTTAACCGTGAACTTTGTAAGGCACACAGGTGTTAACCGGCTCACAGCGAACAGATTAACTCTTATTCTGTTATTTTCCAACCTTATTAAAAGAGACTAGTGCTTAAACCAAAATTTGTGATATATGATAATGAACTGAGAGAACTAGTTAACCTTGAATGTGAAATATATTGACGGTGTTTATAGACTGCACACCAAGCTGGAAATATCATATTGAACACATTGCGGTAAAAATAAGTAGATCTGTTGGTATTATTGCGAAACTTAGGCATTTTTCGCCAGCAAATACTCTACTGTGCATCTATCAATCCTAAATATTGCCCTATATAGCTTATGGACTTGCAGCAAGAGGCATTGCGAGTAAATCTTTCTTGAGCACTAGATTTTATTTATCACAAATCCGCTTGTTATTTAATGCAGCATATTTTTTAATCGTATAACATTTTAAACCTTTTTAGCGACAATACCGGTACTCTTTCTTATAAACTCTCGGTCTTACGCATCAAATAACTTTTATATTAAGAAACTAGGCTAGAAATCCAAAGGAGACCTTGTTCAAGGGCAGGCGCTAAAATTTGGAATGAGATACCAGCATCATTACGAGAGCACCAAAAAACTAATACATAAAAATAATATAACAAAATTGAAAAAAAAAAAACAAAGAAACAAAGAAACAAACTCCACTCTTTCCTTGTTGATATTCTAAAGAAGCATGATGACTATATTATTGATATTTCACAATTAACTCTGTTCTAAAAACATGCGAAAAAATACTTTCGGCGAGAAGAAGACGCTTAAAGAACCGGAGGTTCAACCTCTTCAATGATGATTCTGCTAATTGCATTCCAGCTTGTTAGTGCATCAGCAGATTTAGGATAAGCCTTGCAATTCTTAACGTGAAAACCAACTCGGACCTTTCCAGAAGCTATTCCACCACAGTACCCTTCAATATTGGCCGAGCGATGGATGTTAATATTGGTACTTTGATACACCAGACCATCAATAGTGGCGGGTGCGCGACACTCAACGTCGTTGAAAGTGAAGTACCACCTCTTACAGCAGCCTGAGCATCCCCGAATGCGCGTGTTTCCCATATAAACAACACGGAGGTATGTATCGCTCCTCTTTTTAGCGAAATCGCATTCCTGAAAAGAAGATACATTTCAGATTTCACTGTCACTGTCTGCTACGAATTGTATAACGCACTGTGTAATGGTTTGGGAAATGTGAAATGCCTTTATCTATAATACAGTGGAAACTTGTTAACTGAGGTTACCAACGGATAACAAGCGACCGAATTTTGGGTTTTTCTTCGACGTTACCAGAGCAACCAATCCTTGCTTGTGAAAAAAGGCGGCAAATGCCTAATTTCAAACCGAGCAGGGCTGGGTACGAGTCGGTTTATTATGGAATAAACAACACGAAATCCACGTTGTCAGAAAGAGAACATTGAGACGAGGAACATTCTCAAGTTTGGTGTTTATGGGGCCTATATTGAACGAGATACAGCCATTCAAAAACTCCAAAATTTAATAAGAAATATATAGACGTCTGGACGGTGTGTTAGGCAATCTATATATCCCTTATAAATTAATTTCAAGTTTTTAAATTGCTGTAGCTTTTCAATATTGGCCTGATTGACACCAAACTTGAGATTTTTCCTAACCTCAATGTGCTCTCTTTTGACTATGTGTGTCTCGTGTTGCTTACCCCATAATAGACGGACTCGTAGCCAGCGTTACTTGGTTTAAAACTAGGCAATAGCAAGCAGTTTAAATGTTGGCGGGAACGTACTAACCCATATCAGTGTATCTTCTTGATTTGGAAGCTCTACAGGAACAATTTTGCAGTTTTCTTCACCTTGAGAGTCTAAACTTGCCATGTTTAAGTAAGAAGATAATAATAATGATAAAAAAAGAAAATAAAACTGAGAGCTACATTGTAAAACGTGGAAAGTTTGCATCACACAACAGAACATCAAAGAACAAATCCTTCCGATCGACAATGCACAGAGCGGGAAAAGTTAGACTCCGAGCCTCTACATTTTACCGATTGACGTCGCAGAAAAACCCCAAATCCAAAGACGTTTTTGACATCACAGGTCGTGTGTTATGCGAAACAGCTGTAAAGATGCGGTGGTATGGCTGGGACAGGGTTAAATTTTGAAGACTTTTGGGCCTGTCGTGACGACAAATACACCATACACCGCATTCGCACTTCTTGCTTGATGCTGTCATCAGAAAAATCTTGGTATAAAAAGGGACCGACATTCAGGAACAAGTGTGAGGACTTACGTGAATTTTCCCGTTATCCTTTTCATCACCAGATGTATCCAAATTCCAGACACATTGCTTCCATCTCTTTTTGAGTCCTTCGTCACCACGTTCCCCTTTCTGACCCGAGGGACCTACATCGCCTTTTATGCCATCTCTTCCGTCACGCCCGGGAATTCCCTGGGAAGAGGGAACACCCGGTACTCCAGGTGTTCCCGGGGTTCCTGGAGGACCAGCCGGACCTTGAATCGGGCATGTTACGATGCATGAATTGTCACACTGCTTATGGAAAAAAGCGAAAAACGGATTTGCATGTAGATATAGTTAAGTAAAAAAACGCAGCAAAGGGGAGATGTACAATTTTAGGAGAATGTCAGGGGCAACCAACGACAATTTTCGGAAAAATATCTGTTCGGAAGACGATTTGAGATCTAGAATTTTCGTAACATTTGTTGTAAAATTTCTTGCTTGCCTGCCTCTCCTAGGATTTTCGAACATCTAAAAAATGATAAAATTGCCCATTTTCAACGGATTTTTACCCTAAAAAGGTCACGTAAAATTTTCAGGAGCCTTTTTTCTGGCTGAAATTTCCGAACAGGTAAGTTTTGATCCCTATAATTTTCGGATCACTAGACTTTCAGCTAGGAAATCCGAACAGATGAAAAATTTATAGGGGATAAAAATATGCCCATATCCACTGTTTAAATACTAAAACACGTTTAACGATGCTATGTTTAAGTGGTTTTGAACTATATTCTCGTTGGGTGCCCCTGGAATGTCGATCGGCACGTTCATCATTTTGTATAAACTAAAACGACTACAATCTGATTATATAGAGGATATTACACTGTGGCGCGAAGATATGAATTTTATTTTCGAGTGGCAAAACAATATTGTACGAACAAGCGCAGCGAGTGAGTGAAATATTGTTTTTGCCACAAGAAAATAAAATTCATATCTTCAAGCCGCCGTGTAATGTTCTTTTTATTATATAGACAAAAAGACATCGATAAAATAATAGATTTTTATTCGCCAGAAAGTAATTGAATTTTACGAGTGGTATATTTTCCAGTAAAACACCCGTGTCTATATAATAAAAGATATTAAAAATAAATCCAGAAAACAATTACTGTTCTGTAGTGTGTTGTCTTCAGAGCAAAGATGTACCTTTCAGTTTATAAAAAGAGAAAAATCCACGGAATGTGCTCACACAAATAAACGTATTAAGAAGTGAAAACTCTTCTTTTTGCCTCATGAACAATTGTTCCATTCTGAAAAGATTCTTATACTTACCGTACTTTGAGCGTTCGTCGTGGGTTTCTTTGTAGGCAGTTGTTGTCCATCTGACCTACCAGACATATTAAACATAAGAAAAAGCACAATGCAAACGGCAACAGAGATGTTTGCTCGTCGAGCCATTGTGCTCTAAGTAGGCAGGATGAGTCGGAGATAGAAATGGATCGACTCTTTTGAGACTGAGGGTAAATACGTGCCGTTTGACGCGTTATTGGGAAACCCTTTGACGGTTTTTGGTCAAATTGCATACCTGTCACAACACGTCCTCCATGCTACTGAGTCGATGCTATGGCAGTGCTAAAACGTCTCCAGCTAGGAACTATTTTAAAAACCTACTCAGACGTTATAGAAATAATTTTATGGACAGATTGAATCAATTTCGAAACTGGATAACTTTGTCTGAAGAAAGTCTGGGCAAAAAGGGTTCTACTCAAATTCGGTGGACTCGTGAATGTAATACTGTCGATAAACAGTAGAATCATGTCATGTAGGTCATGTGGTAAATCAGAATAGATGATTGGATTGAGAAATTTCAATTTTAGCCCATCAAACGGGAACTTTGAACAGTGACAGTCTATAGGAATATATAGACCGTGATCTAGAGACCATGGAGTCATCTTCAACTAGTACACGAGAGACCCATGGACTATAAAATATACGGAGTATAACTGATATAATCTACACGCTTTCATGCTGGGCACCTCCGATCCGCTGAGGCGATCCGGATCAGATCGAATCAATCCCCTTAACCACTAGCAAATTGCAGTCTAGTACCCGCGAGTCTTCTCTATCAGCGTTTTACCGTTTAACCGGGGACGCAACTGCTTGGCGTGGCTAGGGAATAAAAGTTGAACCTTTGCAATTGGACTCTGAGGTGGAATTTTTCAGCTGATTTTTCAGTGGCCTTGGGGAAATTTTAACCTGGAAATTTTGGCTTCGTTCAGCGGGTTGTCTAGATTGAGAGTGCTTGGCCTTGTCCTCCCTTCAGTCGCGGAAACTCGGGGGTGAAGGGAATCGCTTAAATCGCAGCGGACCGGGAAAATAACCAGACAGCAAGCAAGAACGAACCGAGTAAATAGATTAAAAGTTTAATTGAAAATTACAGCAAGTCCTCTTGATTCTGCTATTACCCGAATACCTTTTTGCTGCTTTAAAGTTCCAGAGATAGAATCCGTCGATGGTTTGAATTCTTTTATGACCGATCTCGAGGATAAGAAGCTTAAAGAACCGGAGGTTCAACTTCTTCGATGATGATTCTGCTTATTGCATTCCAGCTTGTATTAGCATCTGCAGATGTAGCATACGCCTTACAATTCTTAACGTGAAAACCAACTCGGACCTTTCCAGAAGCTATTCCACCACAGTACCCTTCAATATTGGCCGAGCGGTGGATATTAATATTGGCACCATGATACACCACACCATCAATAGTGGCAGGTGCGCGACACTCCACGTCGTTAAAAGTGAAGTACCATCTCTTACAGCAGTTTGCGCATCCTGTAATGCGCGTGTTTCCCATGTAAACAACACGAAGGTATGTATCGCTCCTCTTTTTAGTGAAATCGCATTCCTAAAAAGACGGTACATACATATCAGATTTCATTATCAGAGTATGTAAGGTGTCGTAAAACATAATTGCGATACAACTGCACCTCCATTAACCCTTTAAACCCTAAGATCAAAATTTAAATTCTCATTTGTTGCCCCCATCTATTTCTTACAGATGTAGTGGGGAGAAGTTGATAAAATATCAAGCAAATTCATCTCGTGTGATCATGTCCATAATTCTCTTGACCATTCTGTTCCACAAGGCATTGATATTAAAGGTGAAATTTGATGCTGATCACTCTTAGGGCTTAAACGGTTTAGCGGCCACTCTCGGGGTGACGTCAAGTGGCCGCTGCGTAGAGGTTAGTCAAAAGTAAGAATAACCAGAACAAGCAGAATCTTTACTTCATTCTCCAACAAACCACCTTTAGACACTTTCACACAAGAGACAGCTCTAATACTGAACGAAGAAACTAAAGCTAAGGCGTAAGCATCAAACTTTCGGCTCAAAATGTTGTGGCGACAGTTCTCCCAACTTTGCAGGAACAAAACGTCGGTATATACTATTTACGTCATAATATAAGACTAAGGCGACAATATCTGTAACTGACACATCACGTGACTAACTATAATAAAATAATAAGTAGAGTGATGAGGTAAACAGTTGTTATGGCCCGCTAGTTGGAGCAAAGTACAGAACTTGTGTATACACGCTTGTACGTGTAACTATACTGGTATGATGAATACGGCGAACACATCACATGCACTGTCACGAAAGAGGTCGCCTGCGAAATGACGTATTTCCTCGAATAAGTGCAGGTGCTTATTTAAAATTACAGCCAAAAGGGGGCGCTTATAAAGTTTTCCTTTAAACGTTGAGGTGAAACTTTTTTTTTTTTTAGGCTAAATCTTCAATAGAAACGTAAAGTTACACATACACATAGACTGGTTACAGGTAGCCATTACGACACCCGAAGAGGTTATCCCTATACTCAAGATCTCTCTTTACAGATAACCCACCCGGCCCAGGTATGTTTTCTGCAAAAAAAAAAAGAAAAAAAAAGTGTCATTGGCAGGAGCGAGCCCATAACCCGGAGCGAGCGGATAACCCAGCCATCCCAGGGAAGGTTTACAAAATAGTCTTCTGTTTGTTATAACAGTAGCTGTAATCAAGCGCACCGTAGTCGCACAAAACACTTAACACACACACAAAGCAATGTATCAGTATGCATGTTTATCTGAAATATTGATTATCTCATCATCCTCGAGATCATCCTTGTCACTGATATGCATACTCTTCCAATTCCTCTTGTATCCCTACTGTTTAAGAAAGTGGTGGGGGAGGGGAGGGGGCACTTAATCCAGGGGGTTGGTACGCTCTTTTTGTAAAAAAAAAAACAACAACAACAACAAAAACAAAACAAAAACAAACAAACAAAGTGTGTCAGTGGCAGGAGCGAGCCCATAACCCGGAGCGAGCACCACCCATACTAGGCCCATGTCACGCGTTTTTACGGACCGGTTTATTTTTAAGGCACATTTTAGGGCACTTTTTCTCGCGAAAATGGAATCTCCATCATGTCTATGAACGCATTCGAGGTATAAAAATGTCAAAAACGAAAACGTAACGTCATTAGCAGGCAAAAATTATCATTTTTAGGTCTGTAGGTTTTGCTGACTGGTTTGTGGGACTTATTCGCGCCAAAACCGTTCTAAAAATAAACTGGTCCGTAAAAAACATCGTGACAGAAGTACATGAAACTGACAACCACTGGTTATGGGCTCCTGTCAGTGAAAAATAGGATGATTACCGAATATAATATACGAAGTATATCAACTTACGTGAATTTTCCCGTTATCTTTGTTTTCACCAGATGTATCCAAATTCCAGACACATTGCTTCCACCTCCTTTTGAGTCCTTCGTCACCACGTTCCCCTTTCTGACCCGGGTGACCTACATCGCCTTTTATGCCGTCTCTTCCGTCACGGCCGGGAATTCCCTGGGAAGAGGGAATCCCCGGTACTCCAGGGGTTCCTGGGGCTCCTGGAGGACCAGCCGGACCTTGAGTAGGGCATGACAACGTGCATGTGTTGTCACACTGCTGAAGTAAAAGCGAAAAATGGATTTAGATCCATTATTTAAGTAAAAAAACGAGGGGGAAAAAGGGAGATGTACAATTACAGAAAACTGTTGTTATGTTCATAAGGATACGGACGATAGGCGGACCCAATGGGCTTTTGTTTTATAAACCAATAGGGCTGGAATACGGACGATTAACTGAAAAACCAGAAGACAACTGTTTTCTTGTGTGGCGTCTGAAGGGCGTGTAAAACAGTAATATTGCGGCACCCTTCAGTTTGAAAGGCCAATAAATGTGAATCCCTTCTAGCTGCCTCATCAGTTTGTCTTTCAGCCTTTGTCGTGCTCGTCCTAGGGCGATTCATACAGTATGCTTACCGTTCCTTGTTTGTTCGTTGAGGGGTTCTTTGTCGGCAGTTGTTGTCCATCTGACGGCCTGCCAAACATAAACGCTACAAAAAGCACAATGCAAATGGCAAGAGGGATGACTGCTCGTCGAGCCATAATGAGTGTGCTCTGTAAGTAGGCAGGATGAGTAAGATATAAATGGACTGACTATGGGTCCTTGAATACGTGCCGTTTTGACGCGTTGTTGGGCAACTTTTTGATAGTTTTTGATAAGACGACATTGGCATTGATAAGATTTCAGTTTCTACGTCATTCCTCGCCAGGTGTTTAAGCCGATTTCTCCGATAACATTTAAATTTGCATTGATTCTTCCATTAGTGTCTGATTACAAACTGATAAAATGAGCTCGTACACGTATTATTACAAACCAAATTAATGAGGTGAGAACATTAAGCGATCAGAAGAGTAAACAAAATGAAAGAGTTGTTAGCAGGAAGGCATTGGAAAAAGCAAACTGTGATCCCAAACTGTGATCGTCATCAGTTTAATAGGGTAATGATAGTTGGTTGAACTATCACAGAGTTCATTAAGAGCAGAGCTATACAAGACGCGCGAGAACGCGCGAACGAGTGGCCCCAGTGGAGCTGTCCCGCTGTCCCCGTCTCCTTACTCGCGCTAATCGTGCGTGACGTCTCACGATATCCTTTTTCTCTTCCAGTGCAGGGCATTTAGAAGTCATGGAACCGACCCCCACACCCGCGCCACCTACATGTTTTTTTTTAATTTTTTTTTTTATCTAATGTCACTTAAGTGATCTTGGATGGTTCTAGCCTGGGAGGAAGCTGGGATAGCACGAAAAGTCGCGCTTCAGCAGCACGCGAAAGAAGACGGGAGAGCAAGGGCTCATTTTCATGACATGATTAAGATCTGTCAGACTTGCTTCTTTTTCTCTTCTGCTTATAATTACGTCTTTTTGTAATAATCCTTCTAGTATAGACAATACAATGCCCTATAAGGTTTTTATATTTGGAGTAGAGAGCAATCTTTTCCAGGCTATCGATTGGTCGGCTCGACAGAGATTGAGACCAGAACCAGAAAGCGGCTAAATATATTCGAGAGTATAATTTCAAAATAGATTAACTGTTATTGCAGCCTAACTATCAAGTTGTATTTACATAAGTTCCTATGGTGGTAAGGCTCCATATCAACGTAAAAAAAGTATAAAATGTTGTAATAAAATGAGAAGGATCCGGGTTTCCAGGGCCGTCAAATTTTGATTACTCATCGTGATCAAAATTCCACTGAACTAACTTGAATGCTTCATCTATGAAAGTTACATTAATCATGGCGTTTTAAAGTTTTCAATTCAGAAATTCAAAAAATTTCGCGAAATGACGTAGATCTGAAGGAAAGGGCGAAGAAATTCCATACTGATGACGTGTTACTGCACAGATCTGCTTCTGATTGGTTGTGCCGTGAGAGAAATTTGCTTTAACCGATCAGAAGCACTACCCAGATCTGGGTAGTGAACCGTCATCAAGATGAAATTTCTGCGCCCGTTCCTCAAATATCATTTCGTGAGTAAACTAGCTGTGGTCAGGCGTCGCGAAATGTCAGCTGTTTTCTCAGGCTAACAAAACATGGTGGAAGACGTTTTTTGATTCAAACGAATCCCTGTTTGGCGATACCAAGACGATCCTGTAACGTTTTTGTGGTTAGCTTTAAGTCTCTTTCAATGAGGTCCAATTGCCTCTTAGTTTTGCTTGTATCAAAAGCTGGAGGTGGTTTGGCCGAAGGTCTTGGTTGGAACAAGTGGGCAGAAAGAGGTCTTCTTTTGTCTTTTCCACTACCTATGGAGGAACTTTTTACAGCTGTAAGGTAAAAGAAAAACACCAGGTCTGGTGTCAATACAAGTCTGAATGCACTAACAAGCCTTCCTTGTTCACTAGCGAATTCCTAACTGGTGAGTTTGTCTGTATACATGCCTTTTATGGTTTACAGAAAATGGATGCGATAAGTACTGTTGGCGACGGAAAAAAATGTTTGATTGGGCTACTTGCAGTTGTTTAGTATCCTGCTTGCTGAGCGGGCCTCGAAACATGGGCAGCCAGACTAAAGAAAACTGGTAAGATTTTGTTGGTCAGGGTCCTCCAGAAAAGAAAAAATTAAAGAAGAAAGAGGAAAAAAGTTGTGGGGTAGGTAGTAAAAAGGTACTGCGAGTACTAATGCGAGTTGCCGCGATGACTACAGGGTGGTTTCCCTGGTCGCCGGAGCTTCAAGAGAATCGTGGGGGCGCTGGCCGTGATTAACCCTATGGCATTGTCTTGTCATTCTGCCTCTATTAATTCGTAGGGAATGTGTAAAAACCTGCACTGCTGGCGGTGGATATAAAACTCACAGGCGTGTTGTGCATTTCATGGGTCGTATAGGGTTGGGCTTAGGTTTCGCTTAAAGAACACACATATCCTATTGTTATCGCACCTGCCTCTTGGTAGTCAGTCACAACACTCGACACAGTCTCAACATCCGTCACAACACTCGTCACAGTCTCAATACCCGTCACAACACTCGTCACAGTCACAACACTCGTCAAAGTCTCAATATCCGTCACAACTCTTGTCACAGTCACAACACTCGTCAGAGTCTCAATATCCGTCACAACACTTGTCACAGTCTTAATACCCGTAACAACACTTGTCACAATCTCAATACCGGTCACAATACTTGTCACAGTCACAACACCCGTCACAGCCTCAACTCCCGTCACAGTCACAACACACGTCACAGTCTCAACACCCGTCACAGTCACAACACCCGTCACAGTCTGAACACCCGTCACAACACTCGTTACAGTCACAACACTTGTCACAGTCACAACACTCGCCACAATCTCAACACCCGTCACAGTCACAACACCCGTTACAGTCACATCACTTGTCACAGTCACAACACTCGTCACAATCTCAACACAGACAATAAAGACAATATAAATAAATTAATGATTGGTGTTCACATACTCGCTGTCTTAGGCCTCGGTCTTGGTTGGACGTTGGTTTTCTTGCCGGAGCCTTCACTTGTTTGTGAACGAGAGTGATGCTGTAAGAAAGAAATGATAAAAAGATGTTCACTAATTTTGAAAATACGTACATAATTTACAGAAATATTGGAAATGAACATTATGAAAAATAAACAATATATAACACAAACAACTATAGCATAAATCATAAAAATTGGCAAAAACGGTTTCCCAAATACATTCCTTGCGGCTCGGAAGCACTATTTCTGGTATTATTGGAATTAAGTCCAGACTGAATATATTTTAATGATCAATTAGTCTATATAATTTTTATGACAATATTGGAGAAAAAAAAATATCAGTGTGTGTGCCACCAATATTGTGCGTGTATCGAGGACATCGTAAAATCGGCCGATTTCACGATGTCCACTTATATTTGTCGAGGTAAATTCAGTGAAGCATTTTCTGAATTTTCTGTTCTTCTTGCAAAATTTGAAACGACTATCTCCATAGGAACATTATCCAAATGAGCTACTCCTGGGTCTCCGAGGAGGAAGAACTTAAAAAAAAAGCAGACTTGTTAGGAGAAAAAAATTAACAGCTCAATTAAAAGACATTATAGACTGGAAAGGAAATAAATATTGTTCTGAAATATTTCCGCTGAATCAATCGAAAGTGCGTGGTTGCACAACTGTCACATGACCTTAGGACGGTCACATGACAAGCTTAACCGCAGTCTGACTTACTGAAGAATCTTGCTTCCTTTCTACTGAGTTTGCGTCCTCTCTGTTGAAGAAACAAACAGCTAGAGCTTAGTGCCTGTCTATATGAGGTGATCCAGCCCGGTTAGCCCCGCTAACTCGGTTCAAGCCTTATTTCCTCATTAAAGGTTTCGCTGTGTTTAGATTAACAGGCAGGCTGGCCCGCTTGTTAAGATCTCAGCTGGATTAGCGGTTTAGACCTCACTGTGGAGAAGGAATATCAGGAGTGCTAGCAGCCCGGTTAGCCAGGCTGGCTCAAGTCTTAATTTTTGTGTGCGTGTTTTTTTAAACAGGAAGATTGGTCCGCTTGTCGAGAACTCGACTCGATTATTGGTCTACAGCTTACTGCTTATGTCGGGTTAAAATCTAAAATGATTGATCAGGGACAAAGAAAAAAGTTTGTTTTATTGTCTTCAGTTCTACACCGTTCCCATCGAAAAAAAAAAGATCGGACTTTTAAATGTTAGAAAACAACACAACAAAACAAACAAACAATTATCAACCAGAAAAAAGGGTACTTTAGGTAAGTGACACGAACAAAAAGCATAACGAAGGACTGTACTTGTTTTATGCTGCAGCTGTGCGTATGTCGAGATATTGAGCACTTTGAACAAAAAGCATAACGAAGGACTGGCTGCGCTCGTGCAACTATTTTTCCCGCGATCTCAACGCATGAACCAATTGTTAAATATTTTGAAATATCTGGCTGGCAGTGTTTGATACACGCCCTTTTACCGTTATTTTAAAATTATTTTAGGGATTCATACGATCAGAGAACTGGAAGATAAATTTCCAATTCTATGTAAGTTTCAGTGACTTTCATGATTAACTTTGCAAAGAAGAGTCCCGACATCGCGATTTTAAATTCGAGTAGCTATTTGGTCGAGCAAACTACCTTCAAGATTTAAAAAATGGATAGGAATTTGTAGCGGAGCTCTCGCGCGCGAAGCGCGCACAGCGCAGCACCGTGGGTAAGAAAATGTGGTAAACTACCCATCCGAGAAAATTTGGTAATCACGTGACCGTACACCGCCCGAGAGACCGTCCGTCCGCACCACAGGCATACCAATGTACAATAACTCAATCAACAGGTATGGCAACCCAAATGCAACTCGAGGTTATTTTGACGGGAAATCGCATAGCCACCCGCGTCTTGTAAAGCAGAAACAACTAAAGAGTCAATGAAGAGGAAAATGGAAAGCGGAAATTGTCCAAATTTGGAATATAGAGCAAGAGAAACACAGAGAAAAAGAGAAAGTAGGCGGCAGGCCAGCGAAGCTCAACGAGAAAAAGGGGCGACAGAGATTTAGAGCGAGAGATAAAAAAACAAAGGAGACATTTTTTTGTTGGAAGAACAACATGAAAATTTTGTAACGGCGGTGACAAAATGAGAAATGCAAGAGGCCACCAATGCAAGGTGAAAATGAGCGGCAGTGAAAAAAAAAAAGTGAACGAAAAAAACGTGTAACTAAGAAGTTTCTGGAAGTTTCAAGTTGTAGTCGTGCAAAACAGCGGCAAAGAAATGTACAAAAAAGTGTGCTGCACGTGCAAAGTTGCTTTTTTGCTAATTAGACCTCTTGTTGTTTTCCACCGTTCTCCGGCGTTTCCTTCGCCGCTTAGCATTACATGATTTTACATTTTGTTTGAACAAACTATAAATATTATCGAGAGCTTCGCTTTTAGCCCTGGCTAAATCTATATATTATAGTTTCAGCTAACTTAATCACTATAACAATAGAAGATCAAGAAAAACAACAAAAAAATTAATTTCCATAATCTTACCGACTTAGTGAGCTCGACCTCCTTCTCGTAAGGAACACATCGCTAGCACGCTAAAAAGACAATGTTAAAATATTATTTTATTTGGTTGAACCAATGTACAATAGCTACAGAAAAATAACAACTTTTGTAACGAGACCAAACCTTTTCGACTTCGGCAAGACGAGACCACGATGAAGCGTCTGCGAAATAAAAAAAAAAACAAACAAAGGAAGATATAATTAACTCTTATAGGTGGTTTTCATGCAATCTCGGGAGACACAAATAACAATGGTGAAATGAACAAATGCTGGTGGACAAACAAAGCGAGCTAATGAGCAATCTTTTGTTTACCGTCCACCTGCATGGCGGCGATGACGTAACCTGAAAACCACCTATTGGAAGGGAATGCTGGTGCTTTTCGAGTGTAAATGTACTAAGCACGAAAACACTAAGTGAAGGCAGTATTTTTACGTCTCCTTCTGCTCAAGACGAAACTGCCATTTTACGTGGCCATCCGAGCCACGCGAAGGTCAAGCCGTTTGCACGCCAAACGCAGCAACTTCATTTCTCAGTCCCGCCCCAGCGATCAAACCCGCGACCTCCCGCCCTGTAGTCAAGACACTCTAATCTACCGCGGATTTGTTACTAGTGATACGAACTCCCGCCGAACTTGTATGGAATTCGTGAGAAGAGGGAGGGGGGGGGGGGGGGGGGGGGGGGGAGGGGGGAGGGAGAAACAATAAAGCCCAGTTTGTTCAAACCTAATCAGGTGGGTAGTCATCAACAGACTCTTAATCATTTTATTATTTAACTTTCTTGATAAGTTTAGATTTAGATTATAAATTATAGGTATATCTTGTACTTTTATATGGGTTTAGTATTATCTAAGTATTTAATCATTTTTTTCTAGTATTTCAGAGGGCCACAAGTTTATCAGCCGTTGGCTATTTAGTGTTAACCCTCTTTCAATTAAGTCTTTATCTTATCTTTTCTTACCTGCATTGATTGTCTCATCTTCCAGATCTTTCGCACTATTTACATGTCTCTGAAAAAAAAGTAAAAAAATAAATAAAACCTGCATGCAACTCGTATGATGCAGATGTTATGATTTATTGATATCACGTCAGTGGCTAACCGCAACCACTGTTAGGACCGCAAAATGGTGGGGCATGTTTCATGGTGATTGTGGGCAGAATCCGCTCTCAGGATAAGGCACGGACCATTAGAAAACTTACGGGGGGTGGGGGGTGGGGCGGCGAAGTACAAAAAAAATATTCCCACAAGGGAAAATTAAATGAAAAAAATTCATGCACGCCAATTAATCCTAAAAAAATATTAATTCTATGGCCCAAAAAAATTCATACAAGGAATTTGATAACAAAAAAAAATTCCTGCGGCTCGAAAATTCCCCTCCCCCCCATAACTTTTCTAATGGTCCGTCCCTAAATAGGGTGATCTCATTATAGGAAATTAACACTTGTCTTTGTAATTACAGTATTTGAACGTGAGTTGACGAAAAAAGGGGGTACCATTTTGAAAATGAAGGAAATTGACGCGACGCACACAAAAGAAATAAAACTTGTTGATAAATCAGCAACAAATTCAAGTCTTTACATTAAAAACCCACATTTGGGAACCTAGAATTTTCGAAGTCAGGCTGAACAGGTACGATTCTTATATTTTAGGGTAGTTTTTCACAATTCAGGCTGATTAGGTATTTAAATGGTTCTTATTTCCCAGAGGTCATCATAGTGTAACCATCGGCGGAAATATTGCAGTACTTATACATAATGACAAACATTCAACGTCAAAGAACATCTATGAATACATTTCTATATTTTTTAAATAAGATGTTAAGATTTCGAATCGTCTATATTACAAGATAGCTTTATGGAAAGCATACTTCTAGCGAAAAACAAATGTGAATCAAAGAAAATGTGAAATGTAAATCAAAGAAAACATATACACAATAACCTTTTGTCAAAAATTAACATGTTTCACACAATTAAAATTGAGAAATTTGACCATCAAGATTGGACTGATCTTTTTTTGTATAAGAACCAATTTTTCTTTGCCAGGCTGAACAGGTTCTTACATTTTTGGGTATTTAAATGCCAAATTTCAGCCTCTGGGTTCTTATATCATTAGGTTCTTATATGTGGGGTTTACTGTAATCCAAAAAGGAAGCAGTGTTCGTGGTACTTTGCCTAAACGTCGAGGGCTTAATAAACGAAGAAATCTGGACACTTCGAGCTTCTTCTACCTAAACTGGGAGATCTTCACCCTGATAAAATACTCGTTTTTCCTCGTCATGTCAGGAATGACTGAAGTGCAGCGAGAATTTGGGGTCAAACCATGGAAATTACAGGGGCACCCAACGAGAATATAGTTCAAAACCACTTAAACATAGCATTGTTAAACTTATTTTAGTATTTAAACAGTAGATATCTTCACCCTTTTTCATCTGTTCGGTTTCCTAGCTGAATACTGATCCGAAAATTATAGGGATTTTTTTCGAAAATTTCTCGTCATGTCGGGAAAATCCGTTTAAAAATGACTGAATGTTCGCTTAATGAGAAAAAATTTTACAACAAATGTTCCAAAAATTCTAGATGTCACCAACAGATATTTTCCGAAAATTAAGGTTGAGTGCCCCTGAAATTAACGCTTAACGCTTCATTTAACTCATGGCGCGGAACTTATCCTTAACAAAATAAACACTCATTTCATGAAAAGCGTTCATTTCGTATGATAGGGTACCTTTAATTTGTTGTCGTATTGTTAACTTGGTAACCAAGGTTAAATATTGTTTTTTTTTTCTTTTTTTGCGGGGAAAGGGGGGGAGTTGTCAAAAGATTTCGTTCAAAACCATGTCGACCAGCAACTGAATAGACCGGTAAGTCATGTTTTCTACAAAATTTCGTTGAAACTCACAGCGTCTTCCCCCCCGGTAAGGTCAGCTGATCCCTTGCTGCTCCTAACTGGTTTAACCAGTAGGTCTTCTGATAGATCAATCTCAGCTTCTCTATTGACACTGTCCTTCCTTGCGGACCTCCGCGAGTGAAACGCAGACGGCACTCGCCTTTGTTTGAACTTTGCTTGAAGTTCTCGTCTCTGTTGCTCAAGTCGTTCTCGTTCTTGCGTTCTCTGACGAGCTTCTTCTTCCTCTTTAGCCTTAAAAATATCAGAGACCTTTAGGGTCGGTTATTTAAACGAAGTCTAACTTAGGACGCGGTTTAAGAATCGCATTGGACCTCCACATCTCTTTCTTAGTGGGGTAATTTAAGAAAATAAGTGCTTTTGAATTTCTAATCTACGCTAATCTACTGGGCTTTAGTTTCTAAGACGAGGACGACTATGAGTACGAGATTTTCTCTCAATACTAAGTAGTGCTCGCGCCTGAGCCAGCGTCATTTTTGGGGGACGACTGTCGTAGTGGCAGAAACGACTACACCCTGCATACAGATGATCTGCAATACCTTAGTCATACCTGAAGTAACTGTAACGTATTGGCTTGCACAAAAGACGTATCTGACTGGTGGTGTGTGACATCCTTGTGTGACATCAATTGTTCATCAAGGAGTTCCTCTCTGTCACGCATGTACAACAGCTGCTTTGCTCGTAGTTCAAGCTCCTCGTCACGATACATGCGATTGAGAAGGCCAATAACAAGTCTAGCCCAGCCATTAAGAGCTCTTGACTGCAAGTAAACAAAAAGAGCAGAAAAAATAAGTTGAGTCTTTTTCACTTGTTTATACACGGCGAAAAAAAGACCCGTCACATGGATTCATCTATGTCTGACCAGCATTTCGTGCAAAAGCGATCCTCCTTATGACACACCTTTAAACATACAACATGTGTACATGGGATAAAGGACACGGAAGTCCAACCCTCCCGCATCCCGCACTTTGCATTCTCACAACCTGCCCTTTTTTTCCTGTGAAACATTAGACATTGTTGTGTACCGTAAAATTCCGAAAATAAGCCCCGGGGTTTATATTTTTCAAAGGCCCTTTTTGAGGGGCTTGTTTTTGGAGGGGCTTATCTACGCAGGAAAATTTGCGTTTCAAAATCGATTAGGCTAGCTTGTAGTGGGAAGGAAATGTACCATTTTTGCTTTGTTTTACTTTGTATTCGAGTGCAAATTCCAAGCCCCCCAGGGGGGCTTACATTTGGAGGGGCGATTTAACGGAGGCTTTTTGCGTTACGATTTTGGGGGGCTTATATTTGGACGGGCTTATACATGGAGGGGCTTATTTTCGGAATTTTACGGTAATTTCCTCCTAATTCTCCGGCATACCACCCTTTTAGAACTCACAAGTACTCTTTCTTCTCTGTCTCGCAACCCTTTATACCCATCCTGTCTTCTAAGAGAGCACGAAGGGCACCTTGGTGACAAGAAAATGGCTCGACTATAGACTCAAACAGCATTTTTGGCCTAATTTAATAATAATGATAATATAATAATACTTAATTATCCTCTCCCCTTAGTTATGGTGCTTTTCAGGGATAATGAAAGAAATAAATTTAAATAGAAAATAGCATTGTTTAGAATCCCAATTGGTAGGAGGTGAACCAGTTGGCTATTTACAAGCATGGTCGAGAATTTTACTTGGGACGACCAAGAAGCAATCCAGCTAGCAGTCAGGGCAGGACTTGAACTCAGGGCCTCTGGATTACGGGTCCAGCCCCCTAGCTGCTCAGCCATGCTGCCTCCACAAGGTGCGAGTGGGTTAGGCGTGAATGTTTTGGTTTCTGTTTACTTTAAAAGTTTACTCACATTGATGTAAGAGAACTAAGGACTATTCTTGGTTTCCACATTACGTCACCAAAATTCAAACTAAGAGCCTATCGCTTCTTCTCAGTTTCTACTTCATGTGGTATTACAGCACCTTAAAACCTTTATACAAACAAATTTTCAGTTCAAAAGGGTTCTTCATTTTGCAACACATGGATGCTTGAATTTCCAGGCTTTTGCGTGACGTGGCATTAAACTGCTAGCCAGGAAAGCTCTTACATGTACGTTACCGATTTTGGGAGATTTTGCTATCTAAACATTGCTTGTCTCAGAATAAATATTACTTTAATCTTTATGAGTTCCTCAAGCAAAGGACTCATGCATTAGTAGGAAAACTTAAAAACAGACGTTTCTGTTGGTTTCCAACGGTTATATTTGTACCCCTGAAAGGGACACAAAGCATGGCAACTCCGCACAAAGCTATATAAATTTGGGTAAAACGTTTTTCCGAATATCTCGCAAATGAAATATTGCACAGACCTGATTCTTGGCAAGGTTTTTTGTATATTCATAGACTTTCTGTATTGAAAGGTTTCCATGTTAAATTTTGATTGCATGACAGTGAAAACCACCAGTAGTCAACTCTCACTTGACGAACACCCTGTAAGACAAACACCTCTGTAAAGCAGACACCTAGAGTTGGTCACCGCCTTTCTTTACTCGCTTCATTTGTCTTTTCTATAAGACAGACACTTAGTGCCATCCCCAAAGGTCTCCATCTTGTAGAGAGTTGACTGAAGCAATGAAATGACCAAATAAAAATCATAAGTGACAAAGATCATGGAAAATATGTAACAAAACTCACCTTGGGAGTGGCTGTAAATGTACCCAATTCTGAGTTCCTCTGAATCTTAGGAGGTGCAACTCCTACATGTGTTAATGGAATAATTCAATCCTTAGTGAATGATAATGTGAACGATAAATATGAATTAACATTTATTGATTTCCTTACATGGTGATGTTTTAAGGGTATATATACTGTCTTGGTAACTGCTACGTAATAGTTGAACTCCACTCAGAGTGGGAAAGAATTATGCGGTGAACAACATCTATAATGTTCTACGTTTTGTACAAAATGTATGTTTGTTTTATGGTGCGACTACTATAATTGGGGCGACCTAGTCAACGTTGACCAATTGGATGACAGGAAAATATTAAACAATACATTCTGAAAAAGTTAGTTGTCAATCATAATCACCACAGAATGAAATCAACATTAACATGGATCAAAATCAACCCATTACAACCTACAGACGTGACCTTTTCAACTTGCTGAAGAAAGCCGATGTTTCCTGAGAGGTCCATTACGGTGAAAAGTAAAAGTTAGTTATATTTTTGATTTGAGGTTGCATGTTTATTGCAAAACGTGGCAATGGTAGCGAAGAAATTGCTGGTAGTTGATAAAATAACATCTTGTGTCAAACAAATATGTCTCCTGGGTATTATATGTAAAGTTTCGAGTAGAAAAACGTTGACTGGTGAAACATTTTGCTTTCTTGAAAAATGTCTGCTATCAATATTTAAATTTTGTGCTTTGAGTAACTGATTGTTTTTCTTACTAGCTGCTGATTGCCCACAACTAACTTTCTTGGAATCAATTGTAGTTATTTTCCTGTATTCTGATTGGTCAACTTTGTCTAGGTGGTCCCAGTTATAGTAGTCACACTGTATTTATGCAAGACACTGTTAGTAACAACAAGCATTAAGGGCCGCTGGTGTCAACTGCTAAGATTAAATTATTTCATAAAAATATTTCAAAATTAAAGATTTACATGAACGATGCAATGTAAATGTAATATCTACGTGTACATTTACATGATGCAATGTCCTCACCAACAATGTTTGATAGATGCACAGAAGCGATTTCGTCTCCTTGCCATGCTCTTTGCAAAAACAAACAAACAAAAAATTAGGGCAAAATAAGTATGTGTATGTAAACTCTGGTTCTCATATGCCACCAAATACAGTTGTACCACCTGTTGTGATACAAGAGCTGAGGTCACCAGCAAGAGAACCATCCCGATCTTTCCTCCCAATATGCTTGTGAAGTTGACTCAAGCTAAACATCATTGGTACACTGGTGGTAAAGATCTGCAATGCTTCTTGCTGCCAGCGGCAGATGTTCTCCTGTCATAGTAGTATTGAAGGCATTGCCGACAGCAATGTTGCAGGTACATTGGTGGCATGTGAGAAACAGACAAGTTTAATCTAAAGCTGATAAATTATATGGAACCTAGCTTTTACAGTTAACACCTTTTGCATTATAACTCTGTAAAGCTATTTATTCTGGTAAGTGTGAAGAACAGTCCCCCCCCCGCCCCCCACAACTCTGTCAGCTGACTGTTGGATAACTGCTGGTCAACAGTTATCCACAGATCTCTAGATCTGACAGGTTATTGAAGGTCTGCAAAAAAAATAATGTAAAAACAGGAGGGAAAAAAAGAGAGAGATCATATTTCCTTGTTATCTCTGCATAAATTGCACTGTGATCTCTGATTCAATCCAAGCATAATGTACAACTTCTAGGACAAAAGACATCTACTGGTACTTTTGATTTCACCACTCTGATTACCTCATTACCACAACTCTTATGACAAAATTTTTTTGAGAAGATTTTTTAAGAGGTGAATGTTCAAAATAATAATTTAAATTGTTAGACTTAAATTAAATTTAGTCTTGCCAGTGAAATACATTAGTGATCTTAGGTTAGATAGCTCTATGGCATAATACAAGACTATCACAAAGATTCCAAGTTGCCAGGTATGTGTAATAATGAAGCTACATTGTATACATGTTGGAAGGTTTTTGTTTGTTTCCAGAGCCAGTGTCTTTACAACTCCTTGAGAAAAATTTTGAGATCACTTTGACAAGGGATAGGGGTGCTAGTCTTAGGATATAAAAAAAAAGATTGATGCGGTAAAATCCAAATATTGGGTGGATTAGGTCAATGAAAGGATGAAAGGAAATTCAAAAGACAGTTTCCCCCAGGGTGAAAAGAAAGTCAGTTTAACAGCTTGCCATTTGGGCAAGCTGTAGCTACAACCAGTTGCAAAAATGTTGAGACACTCCCACGGAAAAATGCCCTTTCTTGCTTCAAATCGCTCCTGGTCACAGGTCTGTAGAATATAAAACTGACCTCCCTCCTCCCTCCCATTCAAAGTTGTTCCTCCAAGTTTTGAGTATGGTCTTGCATTGCTAGCAACTTTGATAAGGGGTGGAGGGGGGATCACAAGCACAGGATCATGGACAGGCCATTTATGCCCCCCCCCCCAAAAAAAAAAAAAAAAAAAGAAATTGATGAGCAGGATTGATAACACCTCTTCTGTAATTTGAATTCTTCCAAAAAATCACTTGCCCATCGTCAAGTTAAGCCTGATAGCAAAATCCACTAGCTCCACCACTTTCTTTGCACACTGATTTCCCCCCTACTGCATGTTCACATACAACAGTTCAATGCACAAGCCCACTAACACAGACAAACAGTGAGTCTTTTGGAAGAGTAACCATGTATTTGGGTCGGAGGATCAATTTAAACCATGCAGATGTGTACTTCATTGGAGAGCATCTGGTAACCATGAGGATGGAGGAAGTGAGTTTACGTTTATGCATCAGTCAATTCCACCTACACCCAAATGCCCCACCCCCGGGACTGACAAGGTGGACAAATGCCCAGTAGTAGCCTAGGGTGGGGCTGGGTGCAGGGGGAATTGACTGATGCATTAAACAAAAGCTTTCTACGAAGGCGTAAATTTATGTATCTAATGATAGAATCGATAATAAATGTACAGGTTGTCTTTTGTCTGTCCTTACCTTCGAACAAGGTAAATGACACACTGCAGCTGATCACGAACTTTTTGAGCTTCCACTTGGCTTTGCAAAAGTTCCAACTTTAAGTTGTTCACAAGATCCCTCAGGGCTTGGGACTCGTTGGAGGCACTTCTGCGCCTGTCTTTGTCAGTCATTCTCTTCTGCATGATTAGTAAACTACACTGCAGTAGGCTGAATCCGACGCGTAATTATTACTCAAAGTCTGAAATTATTGATGTCACAATTCTTCCAAAATTTTTAGCCAGAACACAGGGCAAGAATCCTTCAAATTAAGGGCCATAAAACTTTCCATATCCCTTGATACACCGGCCAAGATTTTTTATAATCTTCACCAAAGAAAAGCCGTCGAAAGGTTTTGTAAAAAGGTTCAAAGTTGTTGACAAACAACAGTAAATCTGTCCGCCATTTTGAATGGCATTCCATATCCGCTGACCAAGATAATTTTGAAACATTGTGGGGAAATGTCTTAAAAGCGCGGGCTCAGTGGCGGGAACACAGTGTAACGCAAGCTGTTCGATCGAACATCTTTAATGTTCGACCTTCTAATCAAAACATTTACTTCATGGAAAATTCCCACAACTTAAGGAATGAGTTTTGAGGAAAGATCCAAATTATTCGTAAACACTTTCCAAGAGTTCACTCGAGAACAGCAAGACGAGGTGTTAAAACAAATCCTTCTGAAGTGTCAGGTGTGGAAATCTTAACTTAGTTTCCATTTCCTTAGTTGTAACACTAGTGATAGCCTGAATTTCATCCGACTGCTTCGAGTCGTTTTCTCTTCTCAGCAATGTCGTCACTGAGGAATTAATAACGACTTGAAGTAATCGGATGAAATTCAGGCTACACTGGTGAAAGCTTAAGTAATTTTGTTTACTCACTGTATTAAGAGGCTCTGCCCTGGGGGGGCGGTCCCGTGTCGCTCGTCTGAGTTTTAAAAAGTCTCATGTCGTTGTTTGTAAATGCTTCACATTGCTGTCGGAAACTGAGTGAAAATTCTTGGCTTTGTCGGAATTTTAGAAAAGGGGGATAGCGATGTGTTGTGAAGAAACCATTACAGTTCTGCAATTTCTCAGTTGACATTGCGCATATTGAACACCTATACATTGCCATTCACAATTATAAAGTGATCCACATTCAACATTTGAAGACTAACTGACCAAGGAAAATTGACAGAAATTACTTCATCTTGGCATTCAGACTGGTGATAAATAATTGAGCCAAACGACGGTTCTTTGTCGTTTATTCTTGGCTTTGCTGTCTCTGTCGCAATTTGGCCGAGGGAGGTTGTCCCTTGTCGCAATTTCATTTTACGCTCTGTCCCTACTTTTTGGGCCATGTCGCCTGCCTGAATTGACCCTGGCAGGGCTGCTATTAAGTTAAGTTAGCATGGTTTGTTATACTCATTATTCATGCATTTTGCCCTGTCCCCTGGGGAGGGGACGTACAAATCAGATGAAATGAAAGTAGAAGAAGGAACCCTTACGACTGCACATCTCTGTTTTAGAACCCTGTATGGGACAATGGACATATAACGTAAGTGAACTACCAGCATGAGGTGGGAGGGGGAAGCAATTTACTCCCAGACACATGCTTTGTCACATGGGTACCCTGTGGCTTTAGGGTGGCCTTGTTTCCTTTTGCAGCACTCCAATGGTTTGTTACTAATTTTTGTTGCAGCCTCTCCAGCTCCGATTGTTATACAGCGAGTTAAAACCTCTACTGGCTGTTGACTTTGTAGCTTCTCTCCCAAAGGAGTTGGCAGAGAGGATCTTCTCATTTCTCCCTGTTAATGCATTATGTCGTGCTGCACAGTGCAGTAGGTTATGGAGGGAGAGATCAAATCATAATGCAATTTGGTAATTATTTTAATGATCTCAACAATAATAGACCTCTACAACTTGATGTTTTGTTTTCCCAATGAAGACCTGATATGATATTTAATTTGAATGAAACAGTTCTCTACAGTATTGTCACATGACCTACATTGGGAAAACATCTAACATTCAAGCTAAAGGGGTCTACTATTTGAATATAAGAAATGTGTATTAATTTATAAAGCACTCAACGGCTTGGCGCCTATTTATTGATCTGACATTTTTGCTCTACACTGTTACAAGTGCTCCCTTAGATCTTGTTCTTAAGAGAATTTCTCTGAGATCTAGCACTGTGACTTATGGAGGTAGGGCATTTTCCATTGTTAGCCCAGTTAAAGGCTTTGGAATTAACTGCCAGTTTCTTGAAAAAAGGCTGCTGACATCAATGTCTTTAAACATCAACTGAAAACCTATCTCTTCAAGAAAAATTTGTTTTACCGTATTTCATCTGTTATGTCAGAATTTTTAATTTGCTAATTATATAGTTATTTCTATAGTATTAATTGTAAACAGATTTTGTAAATAAATTTTGTAGCATGATTTGTAAATTGACTTAAGTAGTATGATTTGTAAGGCATTATGGGCAGTTGGAGAAATAATGATATATCAATAAACTTATTATTATTATTATTTATTATTACATTAATGATGTTTTAATTCAGTAGAAACTGAATTAATCAGGATGTCTTTGGGTAACCCTGAAAAATCTGTTCTATTCTTTTTGCACCCTATTTTCATACACTGAAGGCATCGTCTTTGTGTTCTAAATGGATGGGATAGATTTGATGACGATCGGTTACAAACACCTCACGCAGCACCGTCCCAAGGTCCTAGTATTTCATCAGCAGACTACAGCTTACTAAAACCTGCTACCTGCCGATGGAAGAAAATCTACATGCGGGCACTTTTACTTGACAAGAATTGGGCACAGGGAAGGTACTCTGTAGCACCACTTCTAAGGGGACACAGGGAACCTATCACATGTATGGATTGCAATGGTAAACACAAGAAATTTCTTTAAATCTCATTACTGTTAAAATTCGTTTCCTTGCATATTTTTAATATTATTGCCAGAGGTTTCCTTATGCTCTGATCTTTACAACAGATTTTGCCGTTCACATGCTGATCCCTGAAGTTCTGCTTCCGGGATTTCAGCTTCCGTGAACTTTTCGTTTTGACAATGATATGAGCTGAGACTAGGTGATGCCTAGGTGCCTTCATAATCGAGTATTCTCTGTTGGTTTTGCCTCAGGTAGCACCATTGTATCTGGTTCATCAGATAACACAGTACGTGTGTGGGATGTTAAAACAAACAGGATTCTTCTTGTGTTGGGTCCTCCACATACAGACTCTGTGCGGTGCTTGCAACTCAAGGTAAGATAAAATAATAATTTTATGATAGTTTATCAGGGTTGTCACTAAGATTTCAAGTTGCCGGGTAAATACAGCAAGCAGGCAGGGAATCAAATGGCTAGGGATTTCTTTTGGTTCTATTTTTCTTCAATTTTCCAATAAAAGTAGCCGGGGGCCACTCTCTTAGTAGCCGGGGAAAATCCCCGGCCCCCGGCTCTTAATGACAACCCTGGTTTATTGTGGGGTATATCCATCTAAGCTGCAGGAATGGTGAAATTTTTAGGAAAATGCAGGGCTCTGTTACTAAGATTTCAACGCAGGTGCTGGGTACACTGTATATGAAATTAGCAGGTGGGTAATTGGACAACTGGAATATCCCTTTGGTTTATTTGTCTTTTGTTTCACAGTAGCTGGGCAAATCCCTGGCTTCTGGCCCTAAGTGACAGCCCTGAAAATGTACTATTGAACTGAGTGTCAGGGGTGCCAAAAAGACCATGATTAAAAAGACCATGATTAAAGGTACAGGTTGTGATTTACAACAACTATTTTTAGCGCAGGAACAATTTTGTAACCATTCCAAACAATCTTGGAGCAATGCTGCCATGCTAAATTGCGCCATAAATCATCGTTGGGAATCGTCTCGTGTAACATAACCTTAAAGAAAAGGGGGTGTAAAATAAAATGAAAACTAAGACAAAGAAGGGGGAACTTTTGGTTGAAGAGAGCTAGATCTGCCACTTTGTTACTTATAAACTACTTGAAACCACTTACGGCTGACCTTAGCATTTTGTTGAACAGTAAAGTTACAAGAAAATAGTCAAATTGATTCTTCCTAGTTGGTAGGGTGATGGATAATGCTCTTCTATTGGTTTTCATGATCAGTAACTGTGGAATTGTGGCTGTGGTGTGATGTGATAGATCGAGGAAAGAGGCCCTTTTTGTCACCTTAGTTTGAAGCCAAATAGAGGCAAGGGCCAAGGAATGTATATGAAGTGCAACCCCCCCTCTCCCTAGGTAATGAACAGGCTTTACAGTTTTTACCGAAACTGGCAAACAGAGATTCAAACATATCTGTAGCAGTAGATGCTGGTGCTAGACATTAATGACTCATGTCATATGACTTTTGATTGTCAAACCAAAAAGGTGGTCTCATGTAGTCACATTCCTTTCTCAATTCTCATTGCTGATTTCATGGTTATCCATGATAGTTATAAAGCACTAGAAGTTTGCAACCAAAACAACTTTCATATTTCATTGATTTTTGACTTTCCTTGAATTAGTCCTTTCAATGGTTGATTCCACCTTTGACACACTCAGAAAAGTGACCATGTGAGTATTCAGAAGCCACACAACCTAAGTTGGCAGCAAAATCAACTATCATACATATTTTTGAATTCGCCTTCTACCTGTTTCAGTGTTTCCTGGAGTTCATGGTGATGTTAAGATTTCTTGTTGTGTTGTTGTAGGATTCCCTTTGTGTGACTGGCTGTGCTGATGGAGTTATCAGACTGTTTGATCTTAAATCTGGGCGATGCCTCAGGTAATGACACCATTCACTAAATGAATTTTTTGTTCATTGTTGAGTGATGGACTAGAATAATTATTTTCAACAATGGATGACCTGTTATGTTGTGTCAACAACTAATATAACATAATTATTCAAATTTTTGTGACATCACACGTCTAATTTAATTGTAAAATACTCACGTGCATATTTATTACATATATACAAAGCTTATGGGAATAACATTATTAATAACACTAAACAACAACAACAACTTGACTTATAATGTTGAACCCCTTATTTTGTTTGACCTTCTGAGATTTTGATGAAATACCCCTTTCTTGTAGGGGATCTCTCCTCCTTTATTTTATCTACATGTACATGTATTTATCATTTTTTTTTGCAAAAGAGACATGAATGACATCAATCCCATCCATATGACAAGTGTCAGAGCTTGTGCCGTATAACGTTAATTTATTCAGTTCTACTGAATACAAGTGATGTGAATATTGCGTTCCAATGAAAACTGTCTTTTTTAAAATTTCCACGAAATTTTACGTATAAGTGACAGTTTAGTTATTTTTCAGTTCTATTTGTTCCACTTCGGTATTGTATTCTTTCTCTTTAAAAAAAAAAAAAAGAAAAAAAAAAAAAAACTGAGAAAAACAGCTATGCACTGCTGCTACCACATGGTGGAATTTGATGTGTATGTGCCTTAGATCATTTCAGGGACACTCTGGGGGTGTGGAGCATCTATCTTTTGACGGCAGCACCATTATCAGTGCCTCTACTGACCTGTAAGTTCACATGAATGTAACGAGGTTTTCGTGTACATCTATATCAATGAATGGATTCATGGAACGAACGTACGCCGCACGCACGCACGTACGAACAAACGAACGAACGAACGAACGAACGAACGAGCGAACGAACGAATATATAAATTGGCGGATTGGTAAGAAAGTCAAGGTCAGGAACCTTAAAACTGTCAGTCTATACTTAAAATATTAGGTGGCAGCCAGTTCCAATCGACCAGATACTGAACTTGTGGAAATTTCGAATCGTGCAGCTACATTGTAGACTTTTGCTTAAAATGGGGTGACATGGTTATCGCTACTTTTTAAGCTCCCTGGGAAAGAGTCCCTATTTTTAATACATTTACCATGTTTTTTTGGTAAAGGACTGTTCGTGTATGGGATGCAGAGACTGGGCGTTTGGTCCACACCATGACCGGCCATTCGGACGAAATACAGGTAAACAAAATTGACTTTGTGAGGGTGAACACCCTGGATTAGTGGAAACTGAGTACCTTAACTCGTGGCCCACAAATTATGACAGAGCCGGACAAAAATTGAAGCAAACGAAATACTGTTAACTTTCTCGAAGACGGACACCTTCGGGACCGGCCCTCATCTGTCTTAGAGAGGTGTCTACTGTCCGGCTTATTGAGAGTCGAGGTAACGTGACACCAGTGAAGACTTAAGCTGAACCCGCTCACAATGAATACACATCTGTTTTACTTATGCAAAACAGCTATAACTGCATGGAACATTATAGCAGAAAAGTGGAATCATTTTCTTATTGTGCAATCAAACGCGCGTCCATTATAAGCAAATGTTCACGGCTACGAGGTCTAAATGTGTAACAGTACGCACTCTGCGAACTGGAGCAAGATTCCAAAGTATTAAAAATCCTGCTATTTACTGTCGTGGAGAGCATCTACTTTTCTCTTTTGACTTATTTTTCACTGCATAAAGCACTTCTCAAGTGTTTGTTGACAGTTTGACCGTTTCAAAAGTGTCCATTGTCCGTCTTAAAGAGGTGTCCGTCTTATGGAGAGGAGGCTGATTTAGCAACAGAACGGGAACGTCAGTTGACAACGGCGCGCGCAAATCAAACAACTGGCTTAACCAATGACAGAGCGGGAAATTGGGCGCCGGAAGTCGTGTTTAGTCCTTTCTGCGCGCTTTCCCGTCGCCAACTGACCTTCCCGTCCTGTTGCTAAATCAGCCTAGTATAGTTGACTGAAAAACGGCAGAGACCTACACCAGGTGTCCGTCTTAGACAGGTGTCCGTTAAGAGAGAGTTAACTGTAGACTTCTTCGTGGTCCCACTACCCCATTGGGACCGAGACATTGACAGGACTCTGAAAAAACTGATCCATTGTCGAGTTTCGCCAATAGGTTTATCGGGATGCAGGATACGCCTTTTTTGAAGGCCGGGATTCGGGATTTTAACACAAAACAGTAGGCGAGATTCGAGATTGAAAGTATACACGGGATGCCAAAAATAACCATCGGGATAACGGGATTGAACGAAACTTTGAATCGGGATGACGGTATTGAAGAACCCTATTTTGCACCCTCATTGTCCAGTTTTTGATGTGGCTTTGCTTTAAAATGCAGGTAATAAGTTGGCAGTACATTTACTGTCCGTTTTTTACAACAATGTTGCATACACGCGTTAACTGCGATTTTTTATATCGCCTTTTATTTCAGCTTTACCAAACAACTTTCTTTTTCTTTGAAGCTTTTGGTAGCACATGATAAACTGGTGATCACAACGTCATGGGACGAAACCATTCGAATGTGGAATGTCAAGTCAGGGACATGTCTCTTGACTCTCAGAGGACACACGGAAGGTATTTATTTTTTCTTGTTTTATTCTTCTATCTTTTTTTGCCATCCTATTTTTGATAAATGCAATTCTTTCTTGGCACTACCAGCTGTTAATGATGTTCGCGCAGAAACTGACATCAGATTAAGACAAAGAACAGTCAGGCAACAATAGCAAATATTCATTAGAGATTATCGTTAACTTTGTGCCTATCATGTCAATGCAATGTTACTTGATTTCTATATTACTTATCGGCATATATTTTTTGGAGAGCGTTACTGACTGGCGCTCGTGATGCAAAGTTATATCATTAGCGCGATTTTCGTGGTACTCGGTTGAAATGATTGCACACAAACAAAACTAAAGCAACAAACGAACATGGATATTCGAATATGATTGGTTTATCGAAAATATATGAGTTTAGCGACGCATTTTAACATGCAACTCATTTCCGGGTGAAGAAAAATTTCGAAAAATTTACTTTTCTTACGTTGGGAGAACAGAAACTGGTTAAAAGCCGCCGTTTTCAATAGAGAATGACCTTCTGATTCTTATTAAACTTCCCTGTTAATCGTTGTTAACTGTTGCTAATCTTCGAAATTGTTCGGCTGTTGCCTTAGGCACTGAAAGGCTTATTACCGTCATACCTGATTGTTCTTGACTGACCACTCCAATCAAGGAAGACATACCAATTGGTTTTCTTGTCATAAACGCCTCTCTGTTTCACTCATTTTGCATTAATTGTCTACTTTTCTTTTTGAAATGTACTACATTTATAAAGAACAGGCTTATTTGGCTGCGTTAGGTGGTTGTGTGATCGGATTGTGGGCTCGATGACTGTTACGTAACCACAATAGCTATGATTACTGGTAACAGTTTCCTTTCTAATTCGCAGCTGTTTACTGCTGCGATTTTGATAACCAAAAAATTATCAGCGGGGGTGGAGACGGGCTGATCAAGGTCTGGGATGCTCAGACGGGAGACAATACCTTCACTATGGTCGGACACTCCGGAGAAGTGGTAAATATAAGTTATAATCCTGCACCAGCACATATGGGCTTACCAGTCTATGTAGGATGTTTGTCAAATGAACCTAGTTTAGTGGCCTTATCTCCCACACGTTTCCTGTAGCTCAGTGGGAGAGAATCTGGACTAGAAGCTAGAAGGTCATAGTTTGAACTCCGGTTGGGAGTACTTGGAGTTTTCTCTTCCGAGCCGCCTGTGTCTCTGACTGAAAAAAAAAAAAAAAAACTTTCTCTCTTATTCATCAGGCAGAGATTTTGCTATCACGTTTTCATCATTTCGCATAAACATACGCATAGATCATCATCATCATCATATCTTTATTTCAATTCGGATTTTAGAGTAGCATTTCTGCTAGTATCTGCGAAAGAGAAATGATAAGTAAAATGAAATACTTACAAATACGAAATCCTTGCTAATACGAACCTGACACAAAGAAGTTAAATAGAAAGGTGCCATATTGACCAAACACTTGTAAACGAGTGTGAGCATATCCTGGATTATCGCTTCTCCTAGAGAAAACATCAACAATCTAGTCCTGATAGTATGCAAGATGTTTGTCACATGACTAGTGTAGTGGCCTTAGCTCCCCCTAGTCAACTTTCTAACATAATCCTGTGATCTCTTCGACACTGCAATACGATTGCAACCCTTAAGGCAAATGCCCCACTCAATACTGTAAGGTCGGCGGACTATAGAAGGGAGAAAAAATGATTATTACATGTAGATTTACAATATGAATGGAAGTAATACGGTTGTCAGTTGTCAGTTTTGCAGCTATAACAAGGCTCCACAGGATTGGTTTGGAAAAAATGAAAAAACAAAGTTGACAATAGCACCTAACCTTAAAACAAAAGAGCTGTGACGTATAGAAGTTCAATGAAGTTAAGGGGTTTTAAAGAGGTGCGAGGCTACTGTCTTTCTAATTTGGGTTCCATGTAGAACATGGTGTACCTCGTTCTAGTCGGTGTATTAAGATTAAAAACCTAAACACTCAAATTTTAAAAAAAAGTTTTAACTGCTTCTTTTTAAGTTAAACCACTTCTCAGTCCGTTAATGCCGAATTTGGCATTTTATTACAGTATTGTCTTAAGTTCAACGATGAAGTCATTGTATCTGGTTCGGCTGACAGCACTGTGCGATTATGGAGCCATCAGGGTAAGACAAATGTCTCGATAGAATGTTATTGGGCTTTTTACAAGTAGCTTACAGGAGAGAGGCGTTAGAAGAGGATCTGTTGTTCGATGTTATATTTTTTCAGATTTAAGATTTGTGTAGTGGAAAAACAAAATCATGCTTATACTTTTACCGGTCAATAGGAATGTTTTTGTTAATATTGGAGAGCTCAGAATGGCTCTAACTTTCGTTTTAAATCGCTCCAACATTTGGCGGTATGTTTTAGACATGTCAGACCTTATTAAGGTTTTTTGTCCTTTCTTTTGATGACCGAACGCAGGCACACAAGAGAAGTGTTTGTTCCGAAATATTATTATTATTATTTTTATCATCATCAATATTATTATTATTGTTATTTATTATCATCAATATTATTATTATTATTATTATCATCATTATTTTGAGGAATACCATTATCGGCTGTCTTGGCTCAAAATTTTGGCGGATTCTCTATTCTTAAAAACACACAAACGGTTTTTACGTATCATCCAAAATTCGCCCCACCAATGTTGCATGCCTGACGCCTCTTTTATTTGTTTGCAGGCACTTTGCTGCACACGCTTGAGGAGCATATTGGAGTCGTGCGCTGTCTGTGTCTCTTAGGAAATCGACTTGTCTCTGGTGGAGACCAGAAGCGTATTGCTGTCTGGGACGTAAAGGTGTGTGAAACTTCTAACTAGACTGCACACTCATAATTATGTATTCATAATTTGGCACATATGATTATGAATAATAGAAGATACTTTCGATAAAATAAAAGTGCAAGCTAAATAATACGCTAGTACAAAGTAACTGCAGCGCAGTAATGTTCTGGATGGTTTACCCTTTTATTCTCCGGTTGTTCGAAAGGTGGATAGTGCTATTCAGTTGATGAATCTAAATGACGCAATTGGCTTCCCTAATACTGATCCGCTGGATAGTGATTTATCCAGTGGATATTGCTCTCCATTGTGTGACCAACCGGGGCCTACAGGAAAAAATAGTCAGTAACCCATCTTTACTCATATTCGGGCCATCCTAAGATACAGCATCCTCACTCTATTCTGTTTTTTTTTTTCCCACAGGAAGGCAAGCTTTTAAGCGTTGTCTATCGTAACCCAGCTTTGCTTCACTTAATGTGGGCGGATGACACTAAATTAATAACAGCTTCCCCGGAGACCCCAGGGACAATAACCATCATTAACTACTGGTAGGTTTAGTACTTGCTAAGTAATCTCCAAGAGCGTGGATTCAAAAGTGTGTTGCGATGTGAGCAAGGCTTCTCTGAAGACGTATGGAACATCTAGCATCGTCGAATGTAGATAGGTGTGACATAACACGCTATTAGGCATACCTGAACTTTCGCATTCCAGTGAGTGGTGCATGCACGCTGCAAATTCTTTACAGCCCTCTCAGAGCCGCCTGGGGCAAGCAATGCAACAACTGCCAGTTACTGATGGACGTGAAGCAGTTATAACGCAGTGAGATTTACGCACGCTTCGAGCGCTTTTGCACAAGCATTCCTACATCCAAGTACAAATTGCAGACCACCCATTTCTATTCGTGGTACAACTGATGTAACACGCCCAAGCATATAAACCATTGCATTGTAGAACTTGTTTACGCTGTGTTGACAGCTTGACAGGTGTCCTGCTGGCTAATTCCCAATAGTAACAATTAAGGCAAGCAAAGATTCTTATTTGGAAAAACTCGAAATGAATGCATCGAAGCGTTAGAGGAATGGGAAGATGGCAACATCTAATACTGTGCTGGTTACGACGTACTTCATTTCTTTCACATTTTTTCACTTCACAATCAAGTGAGATCTCTGTTGAGCATGGCTGCATGTTTCTAGGATAATTTTCAAGCCCAGGTCTAATAGCCGTGCTCTTGGTACAAGGTGCTCAGCGACGACCAACGGTTTATCGTTACACGGATGCTCACGTTTGACGAGAGAAAACAAGATTGGCTAGTCCAGCCATTCGGGTTGCGGCGACTTGAAAGGCTTGACGCGATTCAGGCAGAGCGAGTCTCCTTTTCGCCTCAACATTTTAAGTGTTATTTACAAGTTTGTGTAATGACGTACCGTAAAATTCCGAAAATAAGCCCCGGGGCTTATATTTTTTCAAAAGCCCTTTTTGGGGGGCCTATTTTTGGAGGGGCTTATATTCGGAGGGGCTTATCTACGGAGGGAAATTTGCGTTTCAAACTTGAAAGGGGTAGCCTTATAGTTGGAAGTGAATTTACCGTTTTTGCTTTGTTTTACGTTGTATTTGAGGGCAATTTTTCCAGTACAAGCCCCTGGGGGGTTTATATTTGGAGGGGCGATTTAACGGAGGGTTTTTTGCGTTACCGGTTTGGGGGGCTCATATTTGAGGGGCTTATACATGGAGGGGCTTATTTTCGGAATTTTACGGTATTCCCACCAACGCTTAAACTTTTACAATGAAAGATGTAAATGCCGTTTTACCTTTGCCTGTAATGTGTTAATTTTGTTTCCTCTTTGTAGGAAAGGTGCAATTTTTAGAATTTAAGAGTTTTATTCTGATATTAATAATAGGCCATTTATGAGTTGCCTTAAATCTCTGTTTCAAAGCGAGGCTAAGTGCGAAGCCATTGATCTTGAAATGATTTCTTTTTCATTCCCATGCAAATAAAACTCATTTGCCCAACAAAGCTTTTGTATTTAGCCTCTGTTGTTTTCTCGGACAAACAGCTAGAAATAGGACAACTGCATACAAGATAGGGGATCAAATCAGTAAGTGTATTAATTAAGGAGCGCATAGGTTTTTGCAGTAACCGCATACATACTGCAGGCTCAGTACAATAACAATAATAGTAATAATAATAATAAAACTTAGTATCTCTCGATATTTTACAGATTGTTATGTACTGTATACACGACAGCCATACTGAATCAAAAACCTCGTGGTTTATTGCACCCCATGATTCTTTTAGTACTTTTGTGATAGCATACGTGGCATATATGACATTTCCCTTTTTACAATCAACAAAGAAACTGCTGTGACAAGCTGTAATCAACTGAATGCAAAAAAGGATAGCTTAAACATAGAAAGCAAATGAATTCATTTTCAACATCCTTAACTTAACAGTTCCTAAAAGTTCACAGTTCATAGTCTTTCAGGTATTTGGGTTGCATGACCACCCGACCTTCTGGCCGGGTACGAATTTCTGCTGGTGGACCATGATCCGTAGTTGCTCCTGGTCTGCAAGGTCTGCTTTGGATACCAGTTGGAGTAGGAAGAGTGGCTTTCTGAGGTTGTGTGATCTGTGTTGCATCAGTCCCTTTGTTCTTTGCTTGAGAAACTCTCATGCGAAGATGACGACGATTCCTTCGGTAGATTTTCCATTAAGTGTCTCAACGATGTGCGATCTTGCTGTGTGATGCTTGTTCACAACTGTAACTTGGATCCACTCATTCTCATGATGCATATACATCTTGTCACCTAGAGTTAAGGGGGGTAACTCTTTGCCACTATGTTGGTCATAATAGGAATTCTCTCTCTCCTTTCTCTTCTGAAAATGCTGCTGAATTTCTTGTGATCTTCTGGGTTTAAGCAAATCAGCCTTTGTTGGTAGGAAAGTTTTTAATCTTCGACCCATGAGCAGCTGATCAGGTGAAAGCTTTACACCATCCAAGGAAATATTTCTTCAGTTCAGCAATGCCTTATGAGGATCTTGTGCTTTCTTGAGGAGATTCTTGATGGTCTGAACTGCTCTTTCAGCTTCACCACTGCTTATTAAAAAAAGGGAAGTGAGGACTTGACTTAAACAACAAATTTACAACTTTCGAGCACATTGTGTCAGGGAGGTCCTGAATTATCATTGGCTCTCTTGGTTGAGTTCTCTGGAATTGAGCGCACAAGGAACACTGTGACACTTTCTCTTCAATTTGGGATGACATTCCTGTCCAAAATAGAATGTCTCGGGCACGCTGCTTGCATTTTACTATGCCTTGGTGTGACTCGTGAATGAGCCCTTACATTTCTTTTCTCTTACTCTGAGGAACAGTAAGCTTCTGTGCTTTGAACAACAACCCATTAATTTCTGAAATTTCATCTGGTATCTGGTAGCTCCTGTTTTTGATAAGGGCATCCATTTCGAACTAATGTGCTCAAGGCTTGCAGGGTTGGATCATCTGCAGTAGCTTGCTGGAATTCACCTTTCTTGTGAAATGGGAAGGTGAGCTGTAAGCTGCGCTTCGTCTACTTCTAAATCTGGGGTGAGGCTTTCTTTAGTCTCTTCCAAGTATGCTTTGTTCAGTGCATCAGCAACAGAGAGTTCAGATCCCGGTACATATCTCACCTTTAAGTCGTACCGCTGCAATATCAGCATCATCTTCTGCAGCCTAAGTGGTGCTTCATGCAGAATTTGTTTAAGATATGCTGCAATGGCTTGTGGTCTGTCTCAACGTCTGTTGTTCTTTCATAAATGTACTGATGACATTTCTGCACCCAATACACAATTGCAAGGGTTTCCTTTTCCTTTTCTTTTTGTTTTTTCCCGCTGTTGGGTTGGCGTGAGGGCTCTTGATGCACAGGCTAGGGGCTTCTCATCTTGCAAAAGGACTGCACCTAGCCTTTGGAACTTGCATCTTCAGAGAGGCATAATGGCTTACTTGGATCATAGTAACCAAGGATTGGTGTTGAGGAGGCCATCTGCTTTTTCTTCTGAAAGCTTTCTTCTTGCTGGTGATCTCATTGCCACGCAACATTCTTCTATAATAATTCTCTTAATGGTGGTATTTTCAGTGGCCATGTTTGGCATGAACTTTCCCAGATACTGGATAAATCCGAGGAATGTTTTTAGTTCCTTGGCATTCTCTGGGGGTTTCATTTCTTTTACTGCCCTTATCTTTTCTGGATCTCGTTTTAAACCATCTTTACTTAAGACATGGCCAACATAGGGAACGTCTTGCTTAATTTTGCCTTTCTTTGCATTGAACTTGAAATTGACCACTCTTGCTCTTGCTAACACTTGTTTTAGTCTTGCGTCATGTTCTTCATCATCTTTACCCCATAGGAGGAGGTCGTCAATAATCCCTTTTACGCCTTTCACATCTACAAGCAGCTCAGGCATGTGGTTCTGAAACACTTCTGGGGCTGATTTTATTCTAAATGGCATCCTTGAGAACCGGCATCTTCCAAATGGTGTATTGAATGTGCAAAGTGTTGAGCTAGCTTCATCTATTTTCACTTTCCAATATCCCGAGGTGGCGTCAAGGACTGAAAACACTTTTTGCTTGAGGCATATCAGCAACAACTTCTTCTACATTATTCATTGGAAAGTGGTCCCTTCTAATTGCTATATTTAAATCTCTTGGGTCAATACAGATGCGAAGCTATTCACCCAGTCAGTATGCTCTTTCTACTTTACTACTACTTCTGCCTTCTCCGCCCGGTCAAGCTCTTCGTTGATTTTCTCTTTGAGGGAAACAGGCACTTTTCGTGGTGGATGTACCACAGGGAAAATGCTTGAATCAACTTTGATTGTGTGATCATCTAAAAGGCAACCTAGACCTTGAAATAGATCTGAGTATTGCTTATATATCTTTTGAGCCATTCCCTCGGGACACTTTGATAGGTTCTGTTGCTGACGTAGGTGCACTCGCGCAAGAAGACCAAGGGAGCTTCCATTTCAAGTACGTAGAAATTTACTTGGAAAGTGTTACCTTTACATTCTTAAGGTAATGTCACAACTCCTTTAGTAGGAATCTGATGGCCTGAATAGGATATTAGTTTCAATTGAGTCTTTTCACAGGGGTAGCAAGAAGCAAAATCTTGCAGAACTTTGATAGAAATGACATTGACTTTAGCACCTGTATCTATTTGGACTTTTACAACTGTGCCTTCAATCTTAAGCTCTTCACACCATTCACTTGTGTCTACAGAATTAACTGAGGTGATGCGTCCAATAAAGAACTTATCATCACTACATTCATGTACACGGTTCACTCCTTTCCTTCTTTCGGGTTTTCTTTTCATATTTAAATTTGGTAGTCTCAGTGAGGTTTAAATAACAAAAGCCCTAATTTCTAATTTGCACAAGAAAGCAAAACCCTGAAGGATCCTGGTCATAGTAGTAAAATGACCGTATGCAAATGGACACTTAATGTCAGATCCCAAGGGAAACAGTTAGTTTTGTTTTCCCGAGAGTCCTGATGTTTCCCTCGACTTCGTCTCGGGAAACATCAGGACTCTAGACTTTCACTTCAACAGCAACAAAGGAATAACCGGAGCGAACGAAAACGAACCAAAACAGTCGACTCGGTACTTATAACAACACAAATTTAATTCTCAAAACCACTGAATGAATGATTTACAAACAAAAGTACTTTCCTTATATCATCTGCATCTTTTTCCTCCACTAGCTGCTGTTTTTCTTCTGGGAACTTCTGGGATAACTTTAAAAATCGTTGCTTTTTAGCTTGAGGCTTCGTGATTGTGTTGTTGTGTTCATTCACAGGGGGCCCACACAATCTGTTTGTGTAGCCGATTGTTATTTTATAGTAAATGTACTGGATTTACCGTTTGCTTCACCTATAGCGATATATCGCTGACTATGTATATAAATCAATGATAAATAAACGTTGAATTACCTTGCCTGTGGTGTATAGTCGTCCTTTTGCCTCAAAAGCGGTTTTTTGAGCGATTTTGAATGAATTTGAGTTTTATTATATGGAACAGTCAACGGCGAACTCAAATTCATTCAAAATCGCTCAAAAAACCGCTTTTGAGGCAAAAGGACGACTATAAACCACAGGCAAGGTAATTCAACGTTTATTTATCATTGATTTATATACATAGTTAGCGATATATCGCTATAGGTGAAGCAAACGGTAAATCCAGTACATTTACTATAAAATAACAATCGGCTACACAAACAGATTGTGTGGGTGCCCTGTGGTTCATTCACGAAAACGAAAACTGGCAGGATCTTGCGGTGTTTTTCCCGCCATCTGTCACGCCACTTTCCACCATGCTTTGATCACGTGCTGCAATGTATCCCGAGCGGGATACATTGTTTAATGTATCACGATCGGGATACATTTGATTTTAGTCAAGGCCACGTGACCAAGAATCAACCAATGGCAGTCCCTGTTTAGTAGAGTGAAATTCTAGGAATATAACAATGGCCTATAGTAGCCCGGCAAAACCCCGCTCGGGATACATTACAGCACGTGATCAAAGCATGGTGGAAAGTGGTGTGACAGAAGCGGGAAAAACACTACCAGTTTTCACTTTCTGCGATGAACACAGCAAGATCCACAACACAAACACGAAGCCTAAAAAAAGCTTAGAAAGCAACGATTTTCAAAGTTATCCCTGAAGAGAAACAGCAGCTAGTGGAGAAAAAGGATGCAGATACTACACGGAAAGTACTTTGTAAATCATTCATTCAGTGATTCAGTGGTTTTTTTTGACAAAACATACAGTTGTCTTCATCGTATGACTGCAACTGTGTATTTTGCAAATAGACAATCTGATTACCAATATTTTCTCTTATTTATCACTTGTACATGTAGATTATGTAAATTATCACGTTGTAATTTTTATGGCACATTTGCATTTAAACGAGCTATCGCTCATATGCGATATGTGGTTAAATAAAATTACTTACTTACTTACTTACTTGAGAATGAAATTAATTTGTGTTCTTGTAATAGCCGAGTTGACTGTTTTTATTCGCTCCGATTGTTCCTTTTGTCGCTGTTAAAGTGAAAGTCTGAAATATAACAAAACACTTAATGTCAGTTCTCTCGGGAAACCAGTTAGTTTTGTTTTGCCTAGAGTCCTGATGTTTCCCTCGAAAAACAGGATTCTCGGGAAAACAAAAGTAACTGTTTCTCTCGGGATCTGACGTTAAGGATATAATGTCGGTGTATGATAATGGATATTAAAAGAACGGAACGGGAATAACATGGTAAAACACAGTGTTCCCGGTGCATGAAAGTCTACTCATGTGCCCTAATTAATTTTCAACTGAAGTTTCTTCTGTATCCATCAAATCAACTCTCCGATCTCGTGTGTTGCTACGTACTTACGTCCAAAGCTTGTATTCATGGCCTAAATGGATCCTAACAATCAAAATATTTCAAATAAGAGCTTACATTCCTTTAGCTGAATATATATCATCCAAGTGCAAAACGCGACATTAAAATGCCGTTAAAGCCGGTCAGGAACAGCACAAAAAAAGCCTCAGACGAATTTTGCTCCATAATTCGTCTTAGCAACTCGGGACGAATTATCTGTCTCAGACGGATAATTCATCTCTAGTGCAAATTCTGCCATTTGACTTGTGTTAATATTATATTCATCGCTGTATTTCACGATAATGCAAACCCTTTTGATTTTCATCCCATTACTTAGAGTGATTTTACCTGAAACATGAGAACCAGTACTAACAAATAGTGCGAAATAGCGAGAGGTAAACAAAAGAAGACAATAGAATTAGTGCATAGTAGTGCGTAGTGCTCTACTACCTATTTCACGGTTCAAGCAGACTCACTCTGTAGTTTCAGTTTGCTAAGTCCAAACATGCGGTCACTCAGTTTGCAAGAGCCTCTTGTTTATACAGAACGTTCGAAACTGAAAGTGCTGAGTCAACTCCCAGCACGCCTTGTTTTAGCCGCACCAATGAGAGAAAGACACGCTAAGCAACACTATTCATACGCAATAAACGTGCTGTGTGCAAAACATCACTCAGTTGATGCTCCAATAGCTATTCACACCAATACTATCATTGCAAGATGACAGTGCAGACTACCATGTTGATGAGCCTTTTTCTGCTTACCTTCCTGGTGAGACAGAACGCTGCCTTATTGAGCACAGCTTTCAGTGTTGGGAAAATCTTGTTAGAATCCTTTACTTCAGAAGACACGCAAGAGACAGATCTCACAGCCGCGGAAGAACTCGTGCGAGGTCTTACCTTCGACAAGTACGAGGAGGGAATTTATTGTAAAATCCTCACCAAAATCAAAGAAGAGAACATAGAAAAAAAGAATAACCAGAATTACGGCACGTTACCAGATTCCTGCTGATATCCGTGACTCGCTCTTGAATGTAATGGATGGTGAGGTGAACCAAGATGTGATCCGAGAATTTAAATTCAACAAAGGAAGTTCCGGGTCGGTCCTTTATGGCAGGGTGGTCTCCATCAAACGTGAAGACTCCACAATTGATTTAGCGTACGCAATATTTTCCTTGGAATTTAAACTGTCACCAAAGAAAATTGAGGAACGACGCAGAAAGAAGTTCCTTGGCCTAATTACTTATGGATCCCATACCGTTGTCCGCTTTGAAGAACGAAATTTATCAGTAAAGGAAAAAGAACAGATTTTCGATTTCTACCGCACCAAGGCTCTCAAGGGATTTAAGAAAAAATACCCTAGTCTAGCAGCTGAAGCTAGAAGTGAACTATGAATGTAAACGATTTCATTAGCGATATGCCTGCTTTCTCTTTATACCTCGCAAAGAACACAGGTGACAATGACTATCCGTACATACACTAGGCGAAGCTTTCAAGTAGAGACATTTGATATTCATATCTGTAATGGAAAACTGAGCAGTTCATGTTCACAGGATAGGATTTTTGTTATGCAGTGAAAGGGGCTTAGTGAATACGAGGTTTGTCAGTACCACTGTACTGTCTCACATAGCCATTTGGTCCCCAGACTTACCATCTTTCCTCATCTATTTCCTTTAAAAGCGATCAACCTGTACCGTCCTGTAGTATGCCGTCATAATCGATAGTTTTAAGTGCATTCTTTCTCCGCGTTGAAAGAAAAGCATCTGTTACATCCTAAAAAGGTTATCGATCTTAAAGACAGATTGATTCCATGAATAAAGTTTAGTTGCCTGCTTTATAATTAGTCCCTTAATTTACGGACTGTTGTCTTGCATTGAAAGTCTTGGAGTGAGTAGTAAAACAATTTTTATGTCTATACTATACCTCTTTATAAAATAACTAAGATAGTACACGCGCTCTGATTGGCTGAGAGGAGTGTTTTCATGAGAGTATGTAAACATGGTTGTATCAGGCAAGCACGAATTTGAAAAAGTTTTCAAGTTCAAAACTCGACAAGTTTACTTTCTTTAACCATTCCTTCGTCGGCTGAAACTTGGAAAATCGTTACAAAGAAAGTGGTTCAATTTTTTTTCGCTTAAGCTGACATTTTAAGCGAGAAAAGTCCGTAATTTAGAAAGCATCTTTTTGCAAAACAAGAACTGATTACGCGGGCAAGACTTCGTGGACAAGACTTTGCGACTAGTAAGAATTTCTCTTTTCATCAGTACCATACAAAGAGTTTTGCGTTTTTTCTTGGGAAATTTATTTTATAAAAGCAATAGAAAACTTTTTTCCTGTTTTTGCATAGCCTGATATAAACACTCGAGGCGTAGAATTCTCCCAACCCTTCTCGTGTTGATATCAGGCTATGCAAACACGCAAAACGTTTTCTATTGCTTAAATGGCACACGCGGGAAAACTTAAATATGTACGAAAACAATTTCCGCATCTGCGGAGAAATGCAGCAGATGCAGGGCAGGAGGGAGGGGCAAAAAAACGAAAACCTGAGAAGACCTGTTGGGCATGAACGCATACGAGGGCGATCTGATGACAGTGAGCGTTTTCGTTAGTTCACCCCCAAATCCCCAAGCAAATCAAAGGACCCTATGGGTCTGTCAGCTGGTAAATGCAAATGATATTTTGGCATAGTAATGTTAATGGCTTTCATTTTTCTTTTCTTTGCATGCGAATTTTTAGGGTTAACCTCGTTACAAGAAGCTGTGTTCCAACTTTTTTTTTTTGTCATGTCGCTGTTATTTTTCTGATGTTTGTTGTATTGATGTCTTTGTTTACGTTCTTTTACGTCACTCTTGTGTAGTTCACAGGTTCTATACACGGCGGATGAGCCTATTTTTGTTGAGACTGTCCTTCAAGGATTAATATAACGCGCGATGGAACGCACGAACTCGATAGAATATACCGAATGCAAATATCGGGGACCTCTTGGTCGGCCCTGGTCTAGTTGCGCGAAAGCGAGGGTAGTGAGGCCTCAAGAGTTTTGTTTTGACTGCGTGTCTTTTTCCGCATTTCTTAGCGATTGAGTCGATCAATATGGTTTCCTTCGAGTTATTACGTGCTTAAGAGCCATCAAGGAGGAGATTTAACTCCAGCAGAAACGAAAGTTGGTTATCTTCCTTTGCCAAGGTTCATTGCGAAGAAGGAAAATGGATTCAAGCGATTTAGCGCAGCGACTGGAAGCACAGAACGAAAGTGTGCTCGATTCATTTCAGTAGAGAAGAATCACGAAACTATTTTGGCTAGATTGCAGAATACCCGGCCCACTAAATGTCTTACTTAAAAAACTGCCACGGCAGTCCCGCAGTCGTGTTTCACAATGCTGCTCCCGCAGTCCGCAATGGCATGGTATTAGAGAAAATGATATTCATATAAACTAGTCTGTTGCCAACCTACCGCATCCACGCCTCAACCAAAACAAATAAATGTTGATTCATTCTGTTAAAATTCTGTTTCCACGAGCTTTAATAAATAACTAGTAATAGTTGACACTACAGCTGCCCCCGCTCTGTATATTGTCGGTCAATAGCATTCTTGCTCGTTGTGTAGCTCTTTGAAATATACCGATTCATAAGGAAGATTTTCACACATATTCCATACAATAGGTGAGATAAATACAGGAAACACAAGGTTCCATGCACAGTTTCAGGTCGATTTAGACAGGTTGATCAAAACATTCTCAGTTTCGAGAATAGTTTGTTCTAAACCGTAAGGAAAGATTTAATTAGAAGTTGAATTTTTCGCTATTTCTCTTTCACTTTTTACATTCAGTTCATTTTATTTGCCGGAAAGGAAGCCTTAGAAAGTAAAAGAACGTTTGATCAATCCACACTCGCGCATTCTAGTCTTATTTTCAACTTTATAGCGGAAGGACATCTGTGCGCAGGGAATCAGTCAGCACAGAATTTGATTATCGACGAATTTCTGTAATCGTCCATCGTTCTGCTAGTCAGAAGCTAGCCGTTGTTCACTCGTCTTGCTTGTTTAGGGCTGACTCTTATCCCGGTCAAAGAGAGAGAAAGAGTGTCCGGCAAGGTTTCCAATGAAAGATTTGTGAACTCGTGTCTGGCAAACTCTCCAAGTGTTTACATGTACACAGTTATTCGCACCTTATAACTTCTTCTGCGCTTGACGAATGTCTTTTGGTCCATAACTTTCACTGAAACAACTGCTCCACAGAATGTCACTGACAACACGTAACGCAAAAGAGTGTTGAATTATGACTGCACAATGAATGTCACAAAATCTACCCAAGCGGTCCCTTGGGAATGTTCTGTCTTTACGTCATCCTAACCATTTCGTACTTGCAGGGGCAAACAATAGAAACGTCATCATTACCTACCGTTCCTCGCGGCCCCTGTTCAAGCAAATCGAGATTTGTTCTATATTGACTGTATGACTGTATATTTCAACTGTAAGTACTTTCCTTAATATACGCGCGAGCTACTAGAGTGCCTCCTCGGGATTTCGCCTTCCGGGCGAAATCCCTGCGGGGGCAATAAATACGGATTAACAAACAGCGAAGCGACCGATTAAATACAGAGTAATCGCTGCATTGCGAATTTAACCTCACATACTTACTCCAAGGAGGCGCAAGCTTATCGTGGAATACTTCTTACTAGAACTCACCTTGGGTCGCAAAAAGTCTGTTCACTATTTTTATTTCTGACTCAGTCCCCTATAACTAAGCGAAACGACGCACCGATCAAAATTGAACATCGACTTCTAAGAGTAAGCGTAAACAGTGGAACAACCGTAAACATATTTGACCATCAACTCTCCTCACTAGCTTAATTTTCATTTGGTTCATAAATTTTATTTACCTCTCCTATGAACGACGAAATGACGAAAAGTGGTGTTTTCGGACTCCGAAAGGGGGCATTTTAACCTTTAGCGTGTCGCCAGTGTCCTTTTATTTTGTTCGTACTGTCACCATCTTTGTTGACAAATTCCTCGGAATGGTTCAAAGTTTTGTGTGTGTGACAGTAGCAGTCTGAAATTATTGTCGTTCCCGGTTTACTCCACTCTTGAATGATCGGCAATAAAGTTTGTTCATCTCTTTTGTCCACCAGTTTGAGAAAAGATTTCCTGCTGTCACTCTCGATCCCGCCGAACACCCACGGTCCTTCCACATGATGTCCGCGATGGTACTTCCGCTTACCAAACTGACTCTCGTCAATTTGAACGACCTTTCCTTCTCGCCCTACGCTCTCACTTTCTTCCATAAACGTGACTTCACACACCTTCCGACCTGAAACTGTCTCAGTCCACGCCTGTGTATGTTGCGAGACCAAGTTCGTGTCTTATTTGCGCTTGATCGAAATTCTGTCACCACCAATAAGTGTATTCAAGGATATCCTCCAGCGTCATCTTGCTCTGGGCGAACCAGCTCTCTGCCCTTACTGACATCTCCACCTTGTGCCTTTTGCTATTAATCCGTCTTCTGCACTCCCATTTTAAAACCATCCGAACGGTCAGTGCAATTAACAAGGTTTATGTCGCCTCCACAAACAGAACATAATCGAGATTTGGCCAGCAAACTTTCCCTCATTAACCACTCAATACGTCTGTCTTTATCGTTCAGTAAAACAATCAGGTCATCGTAACGCCATTTTCTCTGCTTTCTCTCATCTCGCGCATAACTGCCCTTTGCCATTCCACAATGCGTCTCCTGATCTTTTGCTAGGGCTTCAGGTGGAGTTTGTGTGCCAGTGCTGGTTTGACGTGGTTTCTTCGATCCTATAGACACTTGCGTCCCCTTTTCATTCATTTTGTTGCTCGAAACTACGAAACTACAGATACTGCGGACTGAATAGCTTATTCAACTACCCGGTAAGTTTATCAAAAGACGCTTGTAAATCTCTTACCTTCCACACTTGGTAAATTTTAACATCCGCTAATTAACCAGGTAAATGATAATTTAGTGTCAGTAGTTATTTTATGTTTAAGAAGTTGTCATTTATCGCCTGTGAGATTACTTTGTTACCCATTACGCAAAACGCTTTAAGACTACTGATATCAACAGATAGCTATATTTTTTGAAATTTTATGTTGAATTTTATTTGTTTATAACCACGCGCCTTTCCATACGTTTATTCAAACCATTCAAACCAATCCATTAGGTTTCAGCAAACTATTTTCTTTGCAGTTATTATTATCTCCTTTGAACAAAGAACACCCCGCCTCAAACTAACACAAAACAAAAGATAATTTTTATCAATTGGTCTCAATAAAGTACCTTTTTAATTAAAACAGCCCCCGCCCCCTTTCTTTGACGTAAGGATAAATGCTAATATATATATTTAGCCACAGCTAAAAGCGAAGCTCCCATTGATAAATT